TATTACACCTCAACAAGATTCTTCCATAACTTTGCACATGTACTAGTACCTATCATGACCATTTTTATAGTGTAGGATACCAAAAAAGGTTTAAAGAACGGAGGAAGACATTTCTTGTCTTCATACAAGTTACTTCCAAGTCTTTGCCATATGCAGGAAGAGCATAGAAACGTACATAGTTTTTAAGCCGTGTCATCTTTTGGAATTGGGACCGAAAAACAATGTTTGTTTTTTTCCTTACAAAATCAAGTATTGCTTTCTTATGACAGCATTTAAACCTTTATTTATGTCATGGAAATAATACTGATACATGTATATAATTTTAAGCAGTTTTCAAAGTTTGGCTTTCCTTGTTCCATTTATAGCTCACCTGAGCCATACGCGAAAAAAAAATCATTTCAACTTATTTGAGGATATCAATTCATTTGATGCACGAAACAATTCTATTAAAGATCTCTTTAATATAAAACGATCTTCATTTCTACACTATTCCACGCATTACTTCAACAACTGAAAGCATTAATCAATTTGCGGAATGGTGTACGCAACAATTACATGTACATTAGTACATTATTGCTCCTTCCAAATGAATAATTCAATTGAATACAGTAATCAATCAATGCGCGCAACAATACAACTGAAGAGATCAATAATAATCAATAAAAATGCCGCTAATAATTGAAAAAAAAAATGCTTTCTTCGGTTAAATTAACGATTTCACATGCACAATTGAATTATTGCTCTCTTCTATTGAATTAATGAAATCATTAATTCAATCATTGGGCGCAACAATACTTTTAGATAGGGTAACTATTTCATGAGGTGTTATCTGTAGTTCGAATATGCATAATAATGATCCTTAATTTGTATTGTTGCTCTCCTTGAAAATACTAATGCGCACATAAATTCTAATAACAGACTTGTTGTGAAATTAATAAAAGATTTTAAGAGATCAACAAATCATTTATATCGAACTTAAATTTTATTTTTACAAGCATTAATTGCACAATATTGAGGAGCTCAACAAAAAAAATTGATGGGCGCATCAATTGAATGAATGAGAGAAATCATTGATTTGATGTGGGAAATAAAACAATTGTTACTCTCATCAATAGAACCAAATTGGTTGGGGATTTTAAAATAGCCAAATTTCATTTTTTTTTTTTTTGAAGGGGGGGGGGGCTTGCAAAAAGGGGGTGACCAAAGTTGAGAGGTTCAATCATGCATACTGCAGCAAGGAGGGGTGGGGACGATTCAAGTTCATGTATGTTTCCCTAGAGTAGTGTGGGATTCCATTAGGGGATCACATTTTTATATGGAAATATTTTGGAAAACTAGGAATATGCCCATAGGACATGAATGCCCTGTCCAGGGCTCATTTAGTAATGCACCATGAAAACCTGAATAAGTTTATGACGTTTGATGAAAATTTCATATATTGGTTTCTTTAAAACTGGGTTTTATACTCTATTCATAAAAAGTCAAAAGTCAATGGGAGGGTCAAGGTAAAAGAAATTTGATAAGTTCTCACCAAATTATATATCAGTGCATAAGCTTATATAAAAATATCTTGAATAATTCTTTGAAACTAAAATTAACACGTTTAAAAAAGGTGAGATTAAGGTCAAATAAACGTTCCAGGTCAAAAAATGTTCATGAAGTTAGATAGCTCTCATCAATACGTATCAGCATATAAGGTTTGTAAAGATATCTTGTTTATATATAGTTTCTTTAAACTGAACTTATCACTAATAAATGAAAAGTGAGATCAAGGTCAAAGGAAATGTCAAGGTAAAAAAAATCATGAAGTTGAAAAGCTCACATCAATATGTAATCGGGGGGTGGGGGTGGGGGGTTCTAGATCCTATGATAAAGAGCTGTATTCCAGTACCAATTGTGTTGCAACATGATTATCCTCAAAGCACATTCAAAGTCTGTAAGAAATCAAGGAATTTCACAATTTATTTATAAAAAAAAATTCAAATTTCTACAAAAATCTCTTTTCTAAGCAAATCCCACGATCTTCATGCATATTATACCCCTATTACTTGAAGAATATATGTACAAATGCACAGTTCACTGATGCTAAAACAGTATATCAGCAAACTGAATTTTCTGAACAAAAATGGTAAAATCGGAGAGACATAAAAACAGATTCGCAACTCTTTGAAGTATCGCATGATCTTATGTTCCCTATTGTAAAAAAATTTAATTCATATTAACAAATTATTCAGGATGTTATATGTTCGTAGTTTCTTTATCTAAAACAATAACAAAGGAAAAATCTGAAATTGCAACAGATGACTCTTGGTTGGCTATATCGCCGCGATTTTGCCGACTTTCGATCATCAGTGATCATTGACCTCTTTAATTTGCCTAGTTTGATTTCAAAAATCAATAAAACTTTACAAATCATACACCCATATATAATAGAATTCATACTAAATTTACTTTAGATAAAAATACAAGACCAATGAAGAGTAATGGCGGAGTTGTTATTTATGTCTCTGGTAAAATGAATTGTTCAAACCTTTATGGAAATATATATTTTAATCCTCATATTTTAATTAGAGAACCAACAACCCTAACATATTTCCTTTGCTTACAATATCTGATTTGCTTACTAGAAATAATTCATAGACAAAATATTCATTTTCACTGTAACAGCTCCAAACATAATCTACAATAAACATACCAGACAAGTACATGTATATACATGTATTAGCCAATTAAAAAATAAAGAATAGTTTGTGTATAATTTACCCATAAATTGTACAATATAAATTATCACAAGTAACTTATATATCACAGGTTTTCAATCTTCATACATTACATGTACTTCACATGAAGAGAAAATTTAACATAATTGATTATTTATAATTTTTATGTAGATTTTATATAAGATGTTTATGTAAGTTGTACAAATTTACATGTATTAAATTTGTATATGTACCTGTACATATCTACCTTAAACACTATCTTAAAAGTAAGCTATTTTTTAATGCAAAGAACTATATAAGGTAAAAGCATATTTTTGCCCACATGAAAGCCCAATTTTGAAGATGTCTAAAAAAGTAAACAATTGTATATATTGTTTGAAAAATTTGAATTATAAAAAAAACGGTTTGGAAGTAAAGTAATAGCAATTCTTGTTTCTGAGATGTCACAAACTATTTGAATTTTCTCTTATTTTCAAGAAAGCTAGAGGACAAAATTTGTTCAAATCTGACAATAGAATTTACAGAGCACAAACCAGCTCTTTACAATATTCAAATATTTCTTTGATATTATAATTCCACACATTAAATCAAAAGATTGGGTTGGAACAGTCTTGCACTGAACTTTTAATAAAAATATCCACATAAAATAAACTCTTTACTCTTAGAATCACTTAAATTTTGAATTCACATCATCTTCTTGACATCATACTTTACATATAGTGTCATAGCTGATGAAAATAGGTAATGCTTTGAAGTCTGCAGACATCCCCCTGGTGTAGAACAAAAATATAGATTTCACTATTAAAGTTTGATTTTTGGGGCAGATATTAGTCATTACAGAATATAGTCCTTTGATCAAATTATTTTACATCGATGGTGAATTGTGACTGCATTGTCTACAAGTCAGTCCTAGATCTGTATCTATGGATCTTAGTCATTACTGGTGGACTTCCAGTCTATTGATGTATCCAGCCACCTGTTCCTCTGGCCATGATTCAGGAATACACTGCATACTGATGAAGCTTAGCTTAGCACTAGTGGACATAGGTGTGCAGGGTGGGTTGCTGTAGCTAAAAATATACAAAACACATATATATATATATTAAAACTTTTTTATAATTTATATTATTTTGTATTAGTTCTGGGAGGCAGGGGGAATGAAAATAACAAAAAATTTAGAAAAAGATATAGAAAATTCAAATTTGTGAAATAATTTTTGGTTATACTGTGGGAAATAAAGAACTTTACATTAAAGAATATTCAGTTAATTTGGGAAAATTTGGTACATCGGAAAAAATCAGTTATGTTAAAAAATGGGAAATTAGATCAAAATAATTAGAGATATATTACCTTTCCAAGAACACACATCCCAAAGCAACCATAAGTGAGGATTTCAGGTTAAAGTGAAAGTTCAGAGAAAAAATTATGCTAGTTTTCCATCACCCAGGAAACAGGTTCCAGGCAGCCATCCACAAAACCATCACACAATAGCAAGTATACGGAAGAACTCTCATCAGAAAGGATAAATTCACACAAGCTCAACTCATGCATAAAATAGCTACCCACTATGACAGCTCTCAAGAAACAGTCACATGATGCTGTCAGTGAAATGTGACCCTGAATCTGATTGGACACTATTTCTGCCTGACAACAACATAACAGCATTTGCAATTGGCTAGTTTTAATTCTATGTAAAACTGCTAAGCCTCACTACAACATTTCTCTATCTTGTAGCTTCTAAATTTCTATATTTTTCTACTTTTTTATAGGTCTTACTTTCTTCACTGAGGGTTCTATTAACAATAACAAGTAAAGATTTTAAAGAACAAACACAAAAGACTTACTATTCCTCTACAAAGGTGTATTAAAAAGTGGAATAAACTGATCATAAGTTAGTATGAAATATATGATAAATATATCAATTTTTCCCAAAGTATTATCACAGTAAAGTAGAAGTTCATAACAGGAATTGTACTAAAAATATTGATGACTTTGCTGTTGAGATTTTTTGGCACTAATCAAAATGCACCTTGTGGAATATCACATCAGTATATAGTTAGTTGAGCAACATTGGGGACATACAAGTATATAGGACACTACCATGACTAGATATACAGAAATACATTATTCACCTCAATACAAGACAACAGTTTAGTTCAACAATGTATAAAATTAAGACCATGCAGATTATACATATACATTGTATACAGTCACACATACTCAGAGCATTCACATGTTAAATCTCAAAGCTAGCATCTGGGTCTAGCTCTACCTATATACAGTATCGTGTGGTGGAATTGTGTAAAAGTCCGCTTGTCCCCCTTGTGGGGTACCAAGCATGCGTAAACGGTGACTGCCCGATGGATGGGGGTAGTCAGAGAGGTCAGTTAATTCTGGGAGAGATCCATTGGGAGTTGGGTAACCTAAGAAACCAAAAATTTCATTTAAATTCAACATTATGTGCATTTATTTCAGAAGGATTAATATTTCAATCAGCACTTTTATGCCATTTTTAGTGTACTAAATTAATTTATGATCCCTGCCATTACAATACATTCACGTGTATGCATGATTTTGATGTAAACACACATGGTGCCAATTAATTCTTGATTGATCTAACTATAGTCCATAACCTATAGACTTCCTAAATTTTGATTATACATGTATTATGATAAACACACAGTATACAAAACACAGTGACAAAACCAAATCTTTGTAAGTTCAGTCTAAACTTTAGATTGCATATTAATTTGACAGTTTTTAAGTTATACATTTAGTTCTCAGGATTTTCAAAGTTTTTTTTAATTTTACATATTTGTGTGAGTTTTCATTGATTTGCTATTAAAATATTTAACTGTAGCAGCCTAACATCTTCACAGTTTGGTTGAAAATAGCATATTTACACTTAATTGTTCTGATGAAAAAGTTATAAGATTTATTTTAAGCCATATACCGGTACTCTGACAGATAAATAAATTTCAAGGTTAGACAAATCTGCCAAAGATATTCCATTTAAAAAATTTTACATTAAAAATTAAGACATTTAGCAGCAATTTTACTGGGACTTTTATCATTACCCAGCCATAAAAATATTCTTTGATGAAAATCAATTCTATTCCCCTGCTTGTTCATGCACATTTTGTGCAACACACCAGACAAAGCTGTGATTTGGGAAAAACATTTCTGTGCAAAAAATACTACATAATAGTTCTATATATACCCGCACGGAAAGGAATTGGCACAACTCTGTAATCTTCAAGGGTTGCTAGTAAATACGTCCATGTAAACATTTTAATATAATTAGTGAAATCTGAAAAATGACTGAAATTGATTCCATAGAATTTAATACCAACCGTGAAGCATGCTTTCATACAACAGGGAGGATGGAGTGACTGGGGTGGAGGTTCTGGATCTCCTACAAAAAATCAGACAAAGAATGAACAGAATATTTTATGTTTAGAAATGGCACGTTGTAGTAGTTTCCAAATATGAAGTGCAAGCCTGTATAATTTTGAACAAGCATTAACTTTTGAGGATTGCTCATCAAATTCTGTTTCCCAATCTATTCTGATTAAATAAATATATTAAACAAACATATTAAACAAAAAAAACAAGTATTAAACAGACAATAAACATGTATTAAACAAAGATATTGAACATATTACAGTCATTCTACAAAAACATGACCAATTAAGAAATTTTTATTTGCTTACAAATTTACCGTTTTAATATCTAAACTATAAATTTAAAGATCAATTTCAACTCAAATACTTAACATACACACTCGGTTTTGTAATTATACTGATATATATGCAGTTACAGTTTTGATATGAACATAATGTAATGTTGAAAAAACCGTATTCCACTGCAATTCTTAATGTTGCTTCATTTATTTACAAATTTCAAAATGAAATTTTCAGCCGTAAAAGTGTTCCGAATAGATTGAAGTGAATTTTTTAAAAAAAAAGTTTTTTATCCAATATAAAAAGAAATCAAACCACTTCTTGCAAAGAAATGCATGGATCTTCTTTCATGCAAAATTATAGCTTGTCGCTAAAAATTGATTAAATTCCGTAACGATTTTGTTTTAAATTGCACATACAGGATGCCGATTTAAAAAAAAACTTAAACTTATCTGAAAGTGACCATGGAAACTACTCAGCTGTTTTAGACAATTGCATTTTCAACATAACAAATTGAATTAGACAAAAACAGTTGTCTCTCTTAAAAATTTAACTTCCGTAATGGTAATTCAGGAAAGTTTTTGCATTAAAGGTATAAAGATTTTTAATATTTTGGGAGCAAAATGCTTCATACTTTTGTTTAATATCCTAAAATAAACTTTAATTTTAACTATTGCCGAGAATTTTAACTTTTATTGCTGGGAATTAACTTTTGTAACAATATTTTTCCCAAAATTTTAACTTAATTTCAGATTCACGCGAGACTTCATGAATCATACTTAAGCGTTCTATACTGAACATCAGAAACAAAAAATTAGTCAAATTCAATTATTTTTTGATGTTTTATACCCTGAATTGGTCCATTTATTGTAGAATGACTGATTAATGAAAGTAAACAAATTATGAACATTTCATTTTTCAAAGACAAATTTTGATTAAACAAAACATTCATAAATGAATAAGTGTAGTGCTTTTTATTTACCTCAGAGTTCTGTTAGCAACAGCTGATCGTGGTCTTTTCATGCTTTCAGGAAGTCCTTCTTTCCACCCTGGGACATGACCTGATCTTGGCCTCCTTTGAACATTTTCCCAGAAGAGGTCACGACCTCCAGCCAGCCAATCAGAACCCACCTTGACATGAAGTGCACTGGATGGTCTTTTAGTAGGTCCATCCTGATTGGATGACTGGATTCTAATAATGGCAGCAGGAGAGGATGGTCTCTGGGGTGGGGGAGACTTTCTCCTTCCTGCAAAATCAAAAGATTTTGTTTGAATTAATTCAGAAAATTGTGGAAGGGAAATAAAAAATCTGTCATCACAATTCCAAACTCAAAGTTCAAGTTAATAACAAAAGACTCAGTTGTATCCTATTGTACATTGTCAAATAAAACAGATACAAGGAAAAAAATGACATTGAAATATTTTGACCATGTTTCTGGCCTTCATTTGCTTTGTTTATTAAAATGCCAAGCAACTCAACAGTGAGCAACATACTATAATGTCACAATGTACATAAAAATTGAAAGATGTACTGTAAACGTGGAAATTAACGTATGGGGATAATTTAAGCTAGATATGCCATAAGATAAATTTTTCCCCACATACCAATACATTTAAACATATTTTTATTCAATTTCAACAATACATAATCCTGGTATCATGGAAATAAACCCATGATTGCTTCTAATTTGTGTAGCTAACAACATGCGTAAATATCCTCGTTCACAGTATTGTATATTGTAGAAAAAACTAAACTGACAAAGAAAAGCCTTTAAAGATCAGATTGGTAAATAAAGAAAACCTCACACATAAGAACTGGAAAAGAAAGAGCACTTATACACATTTAATTTCTTGGATAATTTGTTATAAATATGAATGGACTGAGAATGACCTTTAATATGGTATTAAAGTGAAGCGATAAAAGTCTGGTCAAAACAGTGAAAAATTAAAAAAAAAGACTGAGAGAAAACTGTATCATGGAGACATTATGGTCACCTTTTCTCTGCATCATCATCATATCCATAGGATTGCTAAGTTCTGTGCTGATGTCTTAAAAAGAACAGGTGTCACAAAAATGCACACAAACTTAATTAAAATAAAGAAAAAAATTGAAGCGTAATTTTGTATAATGAATTATTTTAGGCAAGCAGTGATTTTAATATTATGTTGTTTATAATTATGTGAATACTAGTGACAAGTATATGTGAAATGAAAATCAGTTTCTTAAAAACTTCTTAAAACTGAATACACAAGCTGTGCAAATATAAATATAAACATATATATTGGTAAATTCATTAAATAAGAGAAATAAGCAACTGACTCTTGTGTATTAAGAGAAAATCTGCAAAGTTAAAGTTGACCTCCAAGAAGGAGGAGAGCCACGCCCACAGGAGTGAGCTTACCTTCTGTTTTAGAAACAACAGGTACCACAGAAACTTTAATAACGTCCTCCACTGTGTAAAATACAAAATACATCTCTTCCCTTTAACATGATTTAGATTGACATTTGTTTTATTAAGACACCCTCTTCATAAAGTTAATCTATAGAGGGTGTATTAGTTCTTCAAACAGGTCATTGAAATGTAAATCTACAGGGGAACAATGCAGCATACAGTCTACTCCTGATATACCGAAATTCAAGGGACCAACACTTTTTTTTTTCAATATAAGTATTAACCAAAGTTCAAAATTAACAAATTGGCCATATGAAGACATTTTCAAATCCTGATCCCATTCTTAAACACGATCACATACCTGAATCAATTACACAGTTCATCATTTCAAAATATATGACACATAAATTGTGAAATGCAATACAGGTAGTGTGTTCTTTAAGGAGGCTGGGGGGTCAAAAAATTAAACATCAGATATAACTTATTTTTTTAGATATGATATCTTAAGCTGTCAACTATCATTTGGCAAAGAAAAAATTCATACATTTTAGTTTTAAAATTTGATCATTTTTGTATATCTTTATATGGAGCTCTTCTTCTAAAGGAGATCAATATAGTCTAAAAACAGCCACGACCACCCAGCCCTCTTAACAATTTATTTGAAAAAGTCCAATATTTTTCAACATTGGTATTTATTCCTGATCTTTTTCGTTTAAGGGAAAAGGTGCCAGACTCGAAGGCTTCAAAAATAGTGGTACGCTGTTCGAATATTAATGCTAGTGTGCTTGTTTTTATCTTTTGCTAATTTGGATTTAGATTTCACAGTTTTACCTTAGGCAGACATTAATTTATTTTAATTATCTAAAGACAATTATGCTTTTTTTGTGATTTACTCGTTTACAGAAGCATTAAAATCACTGTCAATATGTGATCAGAGAGAATGAAATACCCCTTTATTATAAAACACACAATGAAAAAAATACTACGTGAAAATATATCTACTGACACTTTAGCGTCATCCAATGTCACCATCAGTGATGACAACTGGCCACGAGAACTTAAATATAACCATTATAAAAGCAACTTATTATCAACTCAGCAGACTGATAATTTACTTCAAAATAAGAAATAATTCAATATAAGCAATTTCAATTAAACCAATATTTTTTTTTTTACAGGGATTTAAGGAGGCTGGGGGGTCAACAAATTAACCACAAATTAACCACCAGATTTAACTTAATTTTTTATATATGATATCTTAAGCTGTCAACTATCATTTGGCAAAGAAAAATTTCAAAAATTTAGTTTTAAAATTTGATCATTTTCTATAACTTCATATGGAGCTCTTCTTCTAAAGGAGATCAATATAGTCTAAAAATGGCCACAACCCCCCAGCCTCTTTAATTTTGTTTCAAAATAAGCAATCTCAATATACATGAGTAGGCATAATTGTTCTGAGGCTTATCAATGTATGTTTAATACCTGTACATTTCAATTCATGAAACATGGTAAAAAAGAGTTCTCTAACATTGATTTAAAAACAAAACTGATAAAATGACTAAAACCCAAGCATATCACATTTGTACAAGTGCACATTACTGCCTTAGCAATATTGCAATAATAAGAAATGTTTTAATGGCATTACTTGTTGATTGTTTTCCCGTTGTCTGTTTCCAGGCCTCTGTTCTCTGTCTTTGGTATGATGTGTTGTAGCCAGTCTCCACACTTGGTTTCTTGGGGTGAGCTACAATATACCTGTAAGCATCCACCGCACTGTATGGTCGGGTGTTCACATTCTTCTTTCTGTAATACACACAGAGAAATTAATTTCCTAGGAACTGTTCATAACCTGGTAGCACTGAAAACTGCTGGACTTGTTGCATGATTCTTCACTTTTGTTGAAAAATGATACACTTTAAATTATTTCTTTTCAGATATATATAATAAAATTAAGCACTGCAGTGATTCTTCTTAATACCTTAACATTTTGTCTATGTCATGCACTGTAGCAACATGAATTCATAGCATCAATTACTTTTGCCTATAACAAACCCTGAAGAAGGTCTCTGTCCACTCCTAGGTGTGGTCTGTCGGCTGGTATTTGACCCTTGACCTCCTGATCCTTTGACCTCATTACGACTTGATGTCTCGCCACTGGTTTTGGCTGTCTCTAGGTCATCCCCAGAATTCTGCATCTTCAGGGTCAAGCCTGTGACAGTCAGGGCTTCCTCTGAGGTTTTTCTTTTCACTGCTCCCTCTGGTGGGATATCTGGGTCTCTGGGATGGGGGTGTCCAGAAGATTCCTCTGATTTTACTTCAGTTTTGGACACCTGTTCCTCTGCACTGGTATCCACTTCTTTTCCACTAAATTAGAATAAGTCACTCAAAGAATATGCCATGGATGCTTTAACATTCATAAAATGTGCATTAATGTCAAATAAAGGTATGTGTACATAAAAAAAATATTTAATAGAGTGTCCTTTAAACAATGTAACTACAATGTATTTTTATTAAGTGAATCTACACCCCTGCAATGGATGATGTGATTGCAGACATAGAAAAATGAATCAAAAACTTATAAAGCAGTAAAGATACAATCCAGTACTTTTATTACATGTACTTGACAAAGAAATATAGTGGAATGGAATTATTGTTTTTTGAGAGGAAAAAATTATAGTTGCAGTGTAGAGTAAAACTTAACAGAATTAATTCCATGTGATGTGAATGGACAAGAAGCAATTATATTTTGTTAATGGAAAAATATATTAAAAAAAAAAAAAAAGAAGCAGTATGCATGATTGATCAAAAAGTTAAAAAACTAGCCACATAAAATGAAAACCTCCATTATGTGATGGTGGCAAACTCTTTATTTTTTAGCAAGCATATATAGAATTTAAGATACATTGAATGTGCCATGTTTCAACATGAACATAAATACTGTATAGTTTTATCACCATTATTTTATTACTGAATTTCTGCTCATAACTGCTTATCATTAATAAACTTGGTATCCATATATCAACATGGGCAGGGGTATTAGCATTAGGTGTAGAATATTTCTGGGTTTGAATATGAATCCCAGGTCTTTATTCTTGAGTGCATTGACAAAATCTCTAAATTGAACCTAAAGAACAGATAAATTTAACTCATGCACACCAGAGTGCAAAGTTAGTCTGTTCACAGTTTTAATGTCTAAATTTGCCCTTTCTGAACCTCTTTAACACCTGTTATCTCACAGGGATATTCTGTACTACCTTACAGCCTGGAAGATTTCAGTACAAATCACTTCTTAATGATCCTCACAGTTAAACATTTATTAATTTGACACTTTAGGCAAAAGAACCGATAAACAATAAGGATTCCGAAAAATATCAAGGTGGAGAGGACATAAATACCTTGAAACCCTTAAGTATTATGGTGCTTTATCACTCTGCAAAGAGTGTTAACTTGATACGACTGTGTACTTTTGGAATATTACAGCAATATGTCACTGTGGAGATGACAGAGCCTCCTTGGTACCACTTCATCAGTTTGATTGCTGGTTTGACAAACAAGCATGGACAGAGGGTCCTCAATTACAGTGTAAATCTGTCTCTCTTACCTTTGAATGTGTTCCTTGGCCTCCTCTTGTCCTCCCTCTGCAGAAGGAGCTTGTTCATTGTCCTACAATAGGAAAAGTACAAGAGTTAGTACCCATCAATCATTGGCTATTCTTCACAGAGAACTCAAAGTCTGATAGGCCAACATGACACATTCTTTGGGTAGTGTATATCTTTGGCTGTCATTTAGAGCCCAGTCAAAAATGATAAAATATTGGTCATGCTCAAGTATTGGCACGTTTTCCATGAAGGGACACAGTGGAAATAACATTGATAAAACAGTTATTTAATGCAGTAATTAAATGACTTAAATAATTAAAGTCCCTTCTAGTATAATATATACTGCTGTATTTCATGTGCACAATAGTGCGACATAGATTTTCAGCTATAATGACAGATCAGTGTATAAAAGTAAAACTGGAGCCAGGGCCATAGTTTTTCTGCTGTGGATATACCACAATAAACTGCTGTACAGGTAGTCATGCAAGAGACTACAAAAATGAAATACTTGGTATATGACCAACAGTTAAGCCATTAACAATAAGTTACTAAGGAAGTAAAGACCTGAAAATGAAGAATATAATGACTACCTGATGTAATATAACATAAAAATGGCATAAAACTCTCACAAAGATTCAACTTTACAATACCAAGCCATAAAATACAACATAAAATCACTTTAATAGAGGGATATTCTAGATAGTCTTCCATTATCGGCAAAATAGGAAAACTTTATAGAACCACTACCATTGTATATGGGCCTACACTAATAAGCAAAAAATGTCCACAATTTAACAGACTTTCAGGTTCAATATAGTCCTTTTCTCAACAAGAGGTCCATGGGCCACAATGCTCACCTGAGTAACTATGACTTCTTGTTCTTCATCAACAGATTTTTTCCCCTATATATTCCCATTAAAATTGATCAATCTTTAAAGCCCCACCCTATCCTTGTGGATCATGATTTGAGCAAACTTGAATCTACACTATCTGAGGATGCTTCCTAATAAATATGACTAAACATTTTTTTGCTGTTCCTGGAAAAAAGATTTTTTTTATATATTCCTATGTAAAACTTTGATCTCCTACTGCGGCCCCACACTACCCCTGCAGTCATGATTTGAACAAACTTGAATATACACTACCTATGGATGCTTCCATATAAATATGACTGGCTGAGAAGAAGATTTTTACAGATTTTTCCTATTTATAATTCAGATTTATGTAAAACTTTGATCGTCCATTGTGGCCCCACCCTAACCCTGGGGGTCATGATTTGAACAAACTTGAATCTACACTAATTATGGATGCTAAGACATAAATATGACTGATCACAGCTTTGCTGTTCTTCATCAGATTTTTTAAATATTTCCCCTATGCATTCTTATGGAAAACTTTGACCTCATTGTAGCCCCATCCAACCACCAGGAGGTCATGATTTGTACTAATTTAAATCTAAACTATCTGAGTATATTTCCATATTAAAATGATTAATCATGACTTCCTTATTCTTGAGAAGAATATTTTAAAGATTCTTCCTATTTATATCCAAGTAAAAGTTTGCTCACCATAGTTGCCCCACTACCCTCTGGGGTCATGACTTGCACAAATTTTAATCTACACTAAGTCTATCTGAAGATACTTCCATATCAATATGACTGATCATGGCTTTTCTATTCTTGAGAAGAATATTTTTAAAGTATACCCAGGTAAAACTTCGATTGCCCATAGTGGCCCCACCCAACCCCTCAGCTCATGATTTGAACAAATTTGAATCTACACTACCTATGGATGTTTCCATTATAAACATGACTGATCATGACTTTGCTGTTCTTGAGAAGATTTTTCCTATATACCCATGTAAAACTTTGATTGCCCATAGTGGCCCCACCCTACCCTGGGGGTCATGATTTGAACAAACTTGAATTTTCACTATTCAGAAAGCTTTCACATAAATTTCATCTTTTCTGGCCCAGTGGTTCTTGAGAAGAAAATTTTTTAATGACCCCATCCAATTTTTACTTTTTCTTAATTTTCTCCCCTTGGAAAAAGGTATGGCCCTTTATTTTAACAAATTTGAATCCCTATAACCCAAGGCTAGGCTGTGCCAAGTTTGGTCAAAATTGGCTTAGTGGTTCTGGAGAAGAAGATGAAATTGTAAAAAGTTTTGACCGCAACAACAACGATGACAACAGACAACAGACAAATTTTGATCAGAAAAGCTCACTTGAGTTTTCAGCTCATGTGAGCTAAAAGTTCTTATGACTAAGTTTGACAACTATTTAATAAAGGTAATACTTTTTTCTAAGAGATTATTCACAATACATTGTAATGTAATATAAATTTAAGATTTTTGTGACCTACTAAAATTTAGGTCATACTTTTTTGGGAGAATTAAAAAAAAATTGTCTCAGTCAAAAGACATTTTGTGAAAAGGTCTCCTGATCAAGGCTCTTTCTATCCATCAAAACTACCATGGTTTATTTTACAGGTATACATCATACATACACAAATATGGAAATGCATGTTTTCCACTTGCTGCATTGAATGAAAAGAAAATGTGTAAACCCCCTATGTAGGGTAATGGACTGACTAATTTTCATTACATTAATGACAGTTTTTGACAAGTGATAAGATTTAAGCATGTGTAAATAGGAGGCAGGTCATTAAACACACAGAATCGAGATTGGCAGGATTCATGAATACACAACTACAAAATTTTCCATTTTATCAGAGACTTCAAGTATTATTCTAGATAAGATAGGATTAGAAAGTAATAAACTTGATGTATAATGAACAAATATTTGGTTAATTAGTACTAACATTAAAGTTGAATGGTTCTTCACTTGAGTGGCCAACCTATGTTGAACTTTGGCAAACATGGATTAATGATTACAAAGAACTTTAACTGACCACTTGTTTGATATTATAACAGAAATTGTTTTTATTAAAACAAATCAATATCTATATTTTAAGAAGAGAACTGAAAGTTTAACTCTTATCAATTTTTCTTCTAGTACAATAGCCAGGGCACAAGGTTCTTTAATGTACCGGTAATATGTATAATGTAACATAGTTTCATTTTGAAAAATATTTGTAAATCAACTTTTATTCACATGTGAAAAATATCAAGGAGTTTTGCAAAATTCTTTGACTAAAAAATATTTATTGCTACAAAGAATTTATTTGTGTATTCATGACGAATGTTTCCTTTGTCAAAAACATAGGTAATCAGAGATTACAGAGCTCACCTCAACGAATGTTGTCTTTAAGTAAGGCAAAGTCCCACACTTAACTAATAATCTAGGAGTGTGCATCCCTAGATGCAACATTTATGCAAATTTGGTCAGATAGGACTTGGGAATAGACTTATCTGAAAACTTAAAACTAGTCACTCATCCAGAAAATGTAAGTCAAATCCAGCATCCGAAGCAAGGTTTGAGATTGTTCGTCCCTTGATGCATCATCCATGCAAGTTCTGTTCAGATAGGCCTTATAGTTACTTGGATATGAGATCTGTTCCAAAAACTTTAACCTGGTTACTCATCCGGAAAATGTAGGTCAGATCCAGCATCCGAAGCAAGTCCAGTAGTGTGAATCCTTAGATGCATCATCCATGCAAGTTTGGTCAATATAGGGTTTATAGTTACTTGGAAATGACATCTGCTCAAAAAACTTTAACCTGGTCACTCATCCGGAAAATGTAAGTCAAATCCAGCATCTGAAGCAAGTCCAGTAGTGTGCATCCTCAGATGTATCCCCCAACTTCGTTGAGGTGAGCTAAAAATTGATATTCACTAAAATGTCTATTTTTATTAATCATTGCAATAATGTTAAAAAAATTTTAAAAGTATCATCAGAATGCCTACTTCAGGATCAGTTTTTTTAAATATAATTTTAATTATATTTTTTAAAATATCTATATGTCACTTTCAAATTCTTAATTATTTGTTGATTGTTGTATATTTTTACATTTATTTTAATGTTTAAGCACTTTAAAGTAATTTAAATGAAAGAAAAAGTGAGCAAGCTCATATACCCCACGCTCCCCCAAAACTCGACAATGCAACACGTAATGAATAGCACAGTGCATTTTTAAATACACAGTATAATTCAAAAAGAGGCATTTCTTGCAAAAATCATCACGTCAAAACTTCTTGCATATAAGGACATTCAAATCTTTTGTATGTTACAAATTTAATTGGGCTGAAGTTTCTACATAAATAATGGAATCAAATTTCTTGGTAATATACAAATCTTTACATTATGTCTGAAATACCTACAAAGTTTCATGAAATTCAGTGCAGGAGTTATGCTGACAAACTGTTATTTAAAAAATTCCTCAGTGATTTCAATTTGTTAATGAGTGTAAGTCCATGTCCAGCACATGACAATTTACACATTTAAAAAATTAATAGAAACAAAATTATGATGTAGTCATAGGAATTTGTTTATATACTGTACTTATGAAATTATTTAAGGCAAAGCACCAATTTGAGGGGGGATGGGGGGTGGAACAATAAAAGATTTTGTGTACAGTGTGTGTGTGTGCATGTTAAATCATTAATATTTTGACCTCAATATCAATAGGTGTCTTTGAAGGTCATAAAATATTTCACATAAAATTTCATTACAAAAGCTGATTCCAGTGGAGTTCCTTATTACCTAGCTGGAAAGTTTCTTCAATAATAGGCAAAACTCTTAAGGCAAAAATAAAGGAATCAGAATTTCCTGGTAATATGCACATCTACACACTGTGTACTAAATATCTGCAAAGTTTGACCAAATTCTGTGCAGCGGTTTATGAGGAGTTGCGCTGACAAACTGTTCATCTCTATATTCAAGATATGGCCAAAACTCTAAGTTGAAAAGTGCCGAAATTCCCAGAAAAAATAAAGGAATCGGAATTTCCTGGTAATATGCACATCTACACATTGTGTCCTAAATATCTGCAAAGTTTGACGAAATTCTGTGCAGCAGTTTATGAGGAGTTGCGCTGACAAAAAAACAGGACTGACAGACTGACAGACTGACACACTGACTGACTGACTGACGGACGGGTCAAAAACATTATACTTCACGCAACTTGTTGCGTGGGGTATAATGATATTTAGCACTATATAAATTTTATAATAATAATAATGATAGTAATTATGATTTAAGTTTACCTGAGTATTAATTTCTAGTGAAATCAGGCCAGAACTGCAGGAGGAGTAGTACGTGTTTTGAAAGCATTTCAATTCTGTTAAATTTCTTTAGTAACCATTGCAACACAATTCATCAACATCAAGACTCCATATATGGAAAGTATCTTGGTGTAATTGTTTGCAAAATTTCATTGCAACCAAGCAGAAGGTACCAGAAGAGTAACATTTTGATAAACTGGATACAGACTGCCGGATAGATAGATGACAGACACCTTACCATCACATCAAAATGAGAAAATTATAAAAATTGTTCCAATCCACAACATTCTTGTGACATCTATATAAGATGTTGATAAAAATCAAGCTGAACATTCTGATTAGTTTTGAATTTTTGATAAAGATACCATTTTCTGATTGTAAATAAAAACCACTGATCTTTTTCCCTGCAATGTGTCTTTGACATAAGATGGTAGGCCATCATAGCTTGTTTCTATGTACCGTACATTTTTTTTTTAGATGCTTTCAAATCTTTTGCATGCTTAGTGAATCTATGATATTAACATACATTTTTGTTCTCTCATACCAAATAATTGTGTTTTAGAATACATGTTTATGGTTCACAAAATAATTCAGCTGCATTAAGAAAACAAGAGGCTTTCCTTTCTTTTAGATTTAAAGCTTTTAAATTTTTATAAAGTGTAAATCAAAAAGAAAAAATGTCAGTAGAACATATCGTTTATCACTTTTGACTCCTACTTAAATTACCTAAATGTGAATTCTTTGTAAAGACCCTTTAAAACTTAAGTTGACAAAAGACTCATTTAAATTCAGATTTCATAAAAATACACATTATTTTGTCTAAATAAAAGAGTTCAAAGAAGTTTTTCTCTTATGACACCTTAGAAAATAAAATTTTTCAAATGCCTCTGAAAACTAAATTCAGAATTTGCGTGACATCTGATATCTAAAATGAAGGTATAATTACGGCTCATCTCTGTGTCACTTTACTATCCTGTTACTAACGGAAACAGATAGCAGATAACTAAACAATGCACCACGCTTGTACCTCCTAAATCTGATTCTCGTCAATGATAATACCTTTGATCCTTAATCAAAATTGTGTACTCGGTGTTTAATATTAAATCTTATTAGTCAGATAATGCCATTAAATACTTGTGTCTAAACCGACAATCAAGTTCAATATTTCATATTATTCAAGGTGGTAAACCCCTGAATAGTGTGACTGACTTTACTCATGATAAAGTAGTTCTGAAATGTGTTTAACCACTTACAGTAGTGGAGAAGGGATAAACATCAAAAATATTCAGCTCTCAATGGCTACAGAGGTGAATGCAGGCAAAAGAAATTGATACTTTTTTATTGAAATGAAAAAAAGACTTTGTGCGATCAATGAATTGCCATTGGTAGATAAAGGGTTTGTATTTGTCGGAAATACAGTGAAATCCCTGTCTTTACATTGGATTAAACTCACCTTATTGATCAGTGAGAATAAACAGAGAATTTAAATGTCGCTCGAAGTACAATATGCATATTTATGGTGAACGTTCAGTTTTTCATTTGCACACAATGTGTGGAAACTTCAGAAAAGGCTCCCCAGCACACAGGAACTAGGTCTGCTTGAAAACAACACTGGTGCCTAGTAAAAGGGCACTTGTTTTAAAAATTTATGATGTTTAAATATTTTCAATGAAGGAGATTTTTAAATTTTACGTTGACGTTAGGACAACAAACTTCAGGAAGCAAATAAACTTTTTATTTACCATTAATTCTAGGATTGAGCGCTTTAAAAGTAGAGACGAAAAGATTACAGATGAAAGTGTGTGTATATTTGTGATGATGACTCAATGTTAAAATCTGACAACTTACATTTACATGTTGACAAAGCAACTTGAATCAAGTGGAAAGTGCTCTCTAGTGACCAGTTTTTACCATGTCAAAAAGTTATTCCCCAGAACATCCCAAGCCAAAACAGTTTTGACACAGACTGAGGAGGAATCTCCCACAGGTTTAATGATTTATCCTGATGGAAAGTAGCTAAGATAAACTTTAAAAAGATTGTGTATAAAAGGAACAAATTTGAACAAGAAAAAATTTCAATATTCATAAAACAATGACATTTAGAATGAAGAATTTTAAGCTCCTGGAGAAAGCTGCTAGTGAATTAGTGAAAGCCATTACTCTTGGAGATATTGAAGAAATTCAGAAAGTCTTAAACAAGTACAAGAAGCTACGACCAGACATAAGCACAACCATCACCTCAGATGGAACTACAGTACTACACTTTATTGCTAGATGGCATCGCCAGACAATTTTGGAGATGATTCTGGAACCAGGAATTGAAATTAATGTACATGACAATGATGGTGCTACTCCACTTCAGACTGCATTTCTTCACAACAACCTGGATACTGCAAAATATTTCATTCAATATGGTGCTGACGTGAATGAATCTAGCTCTATTAAAACTGGTGCTAAAATCATACACAAAATGGTGACAACTGGAAGGCTTAATGCAGCAAATATCCTTATAGAGTGTGGGGCATCTATAAACTCAGCAGACAAAATGGGGCGAACACCCCTGCATCTTGCCATGATCAGAAATGACTTAAACATGGCCAAACTTTTGCTGGAGAAAGGGGCTGAGATAGATGGCTGTGACCACAATGGCATCAACTCTCTACATTTATCTATAATATACCAACATCCAGAAATAACCAAACTGCTTATACAACGTGGTGCTGATATTTCTTTCAAAGACAAGTCAGGAATGCTCCCTCTACATTTATCTGTGTCTGCCGGGTTCTTAGACATCACCAAACAGATACTCAAGAAAAGCAATGCTCACATCAACACCAAGGAAAGGCTCATGGGAAGAACTCCTTTGCATCTTGCATGTGCAATCAACCACCTGCCCATCACAAAACTACTTATTGAAACTGGAGCTGACATCAATCTGACCACAAACTTTAGAAAATCTCCCTTACATATTGCAGCCACCAACAAGGCACCTGAAATTGTTACTTTGCTGTTGAGAAATGAAGCAAATGTAAATATAATGAGCATTGGAAATAAAACAGCTTTACACAATGCTATAGAAGCGGGCCAAGTGAGTATCACTTACTCTTTATTACAATATGGAGCCAACTTGAACCTACGCGATCTTCATGGGCATACGCCTCTACATTACGCGGCCAGAATGGGAAGCTCAGACTGCGTCAATGCTCTGCTTAGGTTCGGTGTCAATGTGAACAGTTATGATAATACACAGAAAACTGCTCTCCATTTTGCTGTTATTAACAACCATATAGACACTGCCATGTGCTTAATTCGTGGTGGAATTAATTTCAGTACGAGAGATGAGGAAAATAAAACTGCAATGGACTATGATGAGTCAGGAAGACTGAATGAAATATTAACCAAAATGTTTAAAGTTTAGATCTCAATACTTTAAGTTTAGTGACAGCACTTCAGTGTGATTTTTTCCCCCTCTGGGATACCTAGAGTTATATACAAGTTTACCCACGATAGACAACAGTAATTATTTAGCAAACATTTTATCAACCTAGCTATCACAGTGTCTATGCCTGGATACCTGCTATTTAACAAAGTGAGAAAAATAACATTACTTTTCTTTGACCGAAAGGCGATTTGATCTTTTTCCCACAGGTCTACATGAAATCTAGATTGATTACAGGAGATTCAAAGGCTAAAGAAAAAGATTTAAAGTTTAGACATTATTTCTCTTTTAAGGAAACATTTATGTAAATAAACCATAAAAAAATTCACCATGAAAAAAAGTTAAGGAATTTCTCTCTGTTTCATGTCAAATTTGACTCCTTGAGGTTCTCAATTAATTACATTAAATTCTATATTTTATATTTATATTTACATACAAATCTCAATTAAAATTCTTATTTTAAATTTTTTACTTTCATTTTTTCTTTTATGAAAAAGAAGAACACATGTCAAAAGATCACAATGTGAGCAATTTAACACCTGGACGGTATATTTGCTACAAAAGTGAAGAGTTGAAAAACATTTTGCGTTTAGTTATCCATTATATATTGACACTTATGTACATATAGTACTCTTGGAATAGTTATTAAAAATCTAATTGAATCTTCAAGTGTTATTTGACACAGTTTTTCATTTTTATGGGTGAATAGCCTTTTAATGAAATGGATGCCATCTTATCTTTATCTCACCATCTATCAAAATGGTAAAAAATGGTGTATCACACCCAAAACAGGTAAATAAATAAATTCACTTTCAAAGTAAAATTCATTTTATCAATTACACACCTGAAAAAAAGGAAAGTTATCAATTTTCAGGACAATAAAGGACTCAATATTGAGTGGAAACTCCGAGAACATGAACTTGTTCAAACAAGCAAAGTCGAGAAGAATCACATGATACCATAAACACGGAGATAAATGAAAGTGAACAGATCAGAGGTCTTTCTGATTAAATTTAAATGAAATTTATATGCTTGTTTATCATGAATTTGACAAGTAATACTTGGTCACCAGATCACACCTAGTCACACCTAATTGTGGTGTAATTTCAAATAAAATGAACCTCCAAGAGGGGATAGACAAGCTTTGTTCATTGATCCTGCATGATGTTGGACAAAGAAAAACTATTCAAGTTCTGTCAACTTTTAGAAACAGAGGTAAAATATGAAAAAATGGCTAATATAAACATCCATAGGAATACTGTTTTGTACATGTACTGGGGGTTCTGAAAAATTCTTGATTACTGTAAATGTTGATGATTCAAATTACATGAATCATTTATTAGCAAAAGTAATCATTTATTAGCAAAATTCATATGGCGAATTTTGTGATACAATGTACCAACAAAGCATATTGTTAATAGTGAATGAACAAAAGGTATAAATTATCCTTATGCATAAAGTAGTGGTTTGCATTTCTCACCTTTTATTAAATTAATTTAAATTTTCAGATAACCTGGCAGAAAGTCAGGATTATATCAATTATGTGTGTAAGAAATTTTTTAATGAAGAACCAGAAACTGATTAACTGATTACTCAATATAATGCATGTATGACATGTAAGTACTGCTACTCAACACTGGGTCTCTGTAATCTGATAATCCTTCTTATATTTTAATGATTAAAAACAAAATAATACAAAACGCATGATCAATAGGTTTTAAAAATTCAGAAAAGTTAAAATGCAGGAATTGTGTGCATTGTTTCTGATTTTATGTTTCAGTAAACTTTGGCAACTATGTATTAGAATATTTCTAAAGTTTAAGAAGTCTATCCTGTGCCTTTCCTTTACATGCCAATTTTGAGGAGATGCTTTGCTTGCATGAATATGGAGTAATTGAAGGTTTGCTTACATGATCCATTTAATTAACACTCCCACATATTATTGACACACAAAATTCAATTTTAAATACCAGGTATTTACAAATGACGATTTCAACATTGTGCATTTCAATGTTACCAAAGGAAATGTGGCAAGTATTGGCATAAAGTCCTTTGAATGCAATTATTCTACATAATATATCCCATCAATAATTGCCCCTAGAAAGTCTTTCTCCTGTAGAAAATCCTAAAAGTTTTATTGAAAGATGGATCAATATTAATAAACCTAACATGAAAGCATCTCAGAAAATCAAACAATCCATCTGGAATCAAACTGTCCTCCTGGGTAATGATATACCTGCGGTTATGGAGTTGACAGTGTGCTGATATTGATATGTTTGTTTGATAGCGACCTTGGATACTTTGATGTAGTCAATGCTATAAAGTGTATGAGTAAATTTCAAAATGATATGCAAAATTGATTTTAAACAGATAAATCTTTTTGTTATAAATTACAATTTTCCCCTAGCTGTAGAAAAATTTGTTTCAATCAAATTGCATATTAGCTCAAATAAAAAGCAATGTCATGAACTTTTTGTACATTATAGAATTTATCTTGGATTTTAAATACACCTATTCAAACAAGCAATTGATGTACCTATTCATAGTTGTTGATCAAGTTTAAAGTTTTATTCTTTTATATTTTTCCGCATATTTATTTTTTTTTTGTTTTGTTTAAATTAATGTCTTTTACTAGCACCATCTTCACATCCTAACATATTAACATGAAATTCACATTTAAAAAAATATCCCTATGTTTACAATCAGTGATAAATCAATGTGTATCTTTGGCCTGTGGAACATTTGTCTGATTATCAGTGATAAATGGTGTATTTCCCTCTAATACCACACTTTATCACTCTGAGGATAAAGGTGCAGTGCGGAATAGTGTATATCACATCATTGGACAAATAGATGTCAAGTGCCAGGTGTTGAAATAAAAGCTTTAGAGAAATCACTGATACTTTAATAATTAAACAGATTGTGTTATTGAAACAGTCAATGATCCAGATGACTATACAAATTCCTGCAGTGAAATTAAATTTAAACCTTTTACTTTAGGTGACATGAAGATATGATCTTTGTCTTCAATAATATCTCAGAACTGATATTAATTTGGGATGGTAATCAATACTGAATAAGAGATAAATGGTCAATATGAGAGTAACTTAGTTGCAAATTTATCTAAGATGTTAATCACAATATCTTTCTCTCAATTTACAGGTATGCTTTTTAGCTCACCTGAGCCGAAGGCTCAAGTGGGCTTTTCTGATTGAAATTTGTCCGTTGTCTGTCATTGTCATTGGCGTTGTCGTAAACTTTTCACTTCAACTTCTTCAGAACTACTGGGCCAATTTCAACCAAACTTTGCACAGAGTATCCTTGCATGAATGGGGTTCAAGTTTGTTCAAATGAAGGACCAAACCCTCCTCCAAGGGGAGATAATTATGAAATAACAAAAAATTAATGGCATCATTGAAAAATCTTCTTCTCAAGAACCACTGGGCCAGGAAAGATGAAACTCATGTGGAATCATTGTCAGGTAGACTAGTGTAAATTCAAGATTGTTCAAATCATGACCCCCAGGGGTAGGGTGGGGCCACAATGGATGATCAAAGTTTTACATAGGAATATACATGATATATAGGAAAAATCTTTAAAAATCTTCTTCTCAAGAGCAGCAAAGCAATGATTGGTCATATTTATGTGAAAGCATCCTCAGGTAGTGTAGATTAAAGTTTGTTCAAATCATGACACCCAGAGGTAGGGTGGAGCCACAATGGATGATCAAAGTTTAACATAGGAGTATATAGGAAAGATCTTCAAAAATCCTCTTCTCAAGAGCATTAAAGCTATGATTGGTCATATTTATACGGAAGCATTCTCAGGTGGTGTAGATTCAAGTTTGTTCAAATCATGACCCCCTGGGGTAGGGTGAGGCACAATGAAAGTTCAAACTTGAAGGGAAAAAAGTCACAATTAGTCAAAAAATATGTAAGCATTATTAGTTAGTGTAGATTCAATTTTGTTCAAATCATACCCCCTCCCCTCTCCCTTTTAGGGTTAGGTCGGGACCACTTATGTATTTAAGCTTTTAAATACTAGACTGATTTTTGCTTTTTTCCTAGCCACAGTGCTCAGGTGAGCGATGTGGTCCCTGGGCCTCTTGTTTACTTATTGACTGCCTAAACAAATAGCTCAAAATTACGTTTTATAAACATCGATAATTTTCTGAGAAGTGACTGGTTTCAAATCTAACTGTGGACACTTGATGTTGTGTATTATGTCCTTAGACAAGACACTATATATATCTGCATTATCTCAACTAGGTCACCCAGATAAAAATGGGTACCAGCAATAGACTGGTGGGCCATCAGTCCTCAGAGAATCAATGACTCACATGTCTAAGTTCTTAGCACCACAGAAACTGGGTATAAGTTCTGGCTCCTTTGAGGTTTGGAAAGGAGCTCAGTTAAATTTGACTTTAAGTTAGTTAACCAATTAGCAATTCTGCAAATTTAGAAAATCTGAAGAGAATAATTTTCATGTGTAACATCAGCAAACATGTCTGTCATCTAAGCTTTTATATTGTTAATAATCTTTTTTTAATATGCACTTTATTCATTCAGTGAAGTGCAAATATTAGAAAAACAATGGTGTCATGGAATAAAAGTCAATAAATTAAATTGATTCTGCAGAATGTCATAAATGTTTGACTACCAACATTATTCTGCTGTTTACTCTCTTCTATTGTTGTTTAGAACTTCCAGAATGAGCAAATAATGCAAAAAAAAAAATCATTCTGCAGAGCATTTATGTGGGTTTTTGTGTATGTGTTCAGAAATAGGATTCAGTTTAATTTTTCATTTTCATATCTCATTTCTCGTTTCAAATCAATCAGCTAGAAAAATTGAAAAAGAATGCATTGTCCAGAATGCTCAACTAAGTGGAACCAAAAACAAAAAAAAGAAAAAGAAAAAAAAACCTAAGTGGAACCACTGTTACAGAGAAAAGATTGTTAAAATATACCCCCCTTTTATGGCATCATATATTTCACACTCTATATTTCAGATGTTGTTCATCTGTTTTCTGCCCGAATTGTTTTTCAGTCTTCTATAAGTGTTTATTAGTATAAAGTAACATAGATTTTCAAAATTTTAACAGATTCTTGTGCACTACAGATGTGTAGGTTACTGAGTATCAATATTAAGATATACATGTGCAACATACCGTATTTCATTTACATAAACTTTTTGAAAGTCTTTTTATGAATTCCTTCCATACCTTCTAGGTAGATATCCAGGAACCTAACAGAAGTACATTATCTATATACCGGGGTATTTATCTCCATCTTTGATTTCCTTTTTTGAATATACTGTTCTCCCCCCTTTTTTTGGGGGGGTGGGGTGGGGTGAGGGGGGTCGTGGGGGATTATAATACAATTTATCAATTGCAAGATCTCTGGTTGCAAAACCTCACTGGAGCCTTTGAACCAGATGAGTTAATTCTGTGACCTAATACCTAAAGTTAGCTAATCTAAAGATTACTTAAATGTATAGTAAACTCTCCTGACCTGTTTGTGTTTGTCTCCTGTCATGGCTGCCTCCAGTGCACAGTGTAGACAGGCATCACTCATCTCGTGTTCCATCTTCTGGGTCTGGGGCTCTGTCTCTGTACTCGTCTCTTTTGTCTGTAAAATGGAACCTCTTCAACTAACAGATATTTTAAGTCAGGGCTTTCAATAATTTTGAAGTGAAGAAGTGAATCTCTTCATTTGAAAAATTTTAGAATCATTTCTTAAGTTTATTTTGCCAATTATGAAATTTGAAGTGGCAAAGTTGAAACTTTTGAAAAATCTTTTCCTGCCTTCCCTTCTTGAAAGAACTGGAAGTTTTCTCAATCTAAGACACACACCCCCCCCCCTCCCAACAAGCATTCATGAAGTAATAAAATGATAATATATAGATATTGTTGTAGTTTATTTACTTGCAAAATATTACTTAAATCAGACTACAATGGTTATTTTTTTCAAAAAAATAATGGCAAATTAAACCACAAAGTGATTATCCTTGGTACCTCTGGTTCAGGAGTTGTATGTATTGGTTGCTGCTCTACTGGAACATGAACCTGGTTGTGATGTGGATGGTTACGCTCCAGTGCACCTCCTGCGGACATGGCCCGTCGACTCATTTCCAACTTCAGGTCCAATTTGTCCTTTAAAACTGAAGACATAGGTCTTGGTGTTGTGTTCAAGGACTGTTGATTAAAATTAGGAAATCATACTATCTATATATAGTAACAGACATGTAATTCATAGCTTCACACCTCTGAAGAAATTAATATTATTTCACATTTTGAAGAATATCTAAATTTTATGCAATACTGTATACAAGTACGTTAAAGTCTACACCTCCAAAAAAATCATCTATGATAATACACCATTGTGTAAATATTAATGGATTACCAGTTACTAGTGTATAAAAATCAAAAGAATATAAAAAGCTATTTATTTTAACTAAGTAAACTGACAATGAACCAAGGGATGATAGGGGATACATGCTTGAAGTGATGAACAATGTGACAATGGTGTAACCTCTTACAGTTGTGAAGGATTATAGTCTATCTCTCATTTAAGTTTTACCATCACGTTCCATCTAGACATAAAACATGCAGGTTCAATGTCATATAGGGTCAAGGTCATGCAATGTCTGATTCCATAGATGTTGATGGGATTTTACTCTAGACTACCGTTTATCATAAGAAATTTGTGTACGTGTATATAACTAATAACATAAATCAAAGCTGAATCTTTTTTTAACAGGTTTTCATTTTTTATTTCTCAATAACCTTTAGATGAAATAAAAAAAAAAAACAAACTCATCTGGCAGTGAAATCTAATAAGCAAATAATTGTGAAAACACCAGCAGTGTCTGGAACACTGTTCTGAAACCCTGGCTAAAACACTGATCTGTTTACATGTGGACTGGCCATGCATTCACATTCTCTTGCAGGCATAACTTGCCACAACAAATAAGGAAGTCACAATATGACTATCTTACCCTGAATATAGTAACATGACGAAAAAGCCGATCTGGTAAAATTCCCATGATTAACTCATAATGCTGAGAGTAAATAGAAGTTCAAAGGTTATCAAAATGATACATTAGAGAAAGGATTACTATATTAGAGACATAGACAAACATCACTCTACAACCCTCTGGTTATATGTTGAACAAAAACCCAAGTATACAATGCACAAATATTCATTTTCCTTGCATATATTTAGATATTTGGAATCATTACCAAAGAGGGCAAACTCTGCTTAATTCTAACATGCTTTCTCTAAAATAAAGAAACAGCTAAGTTTTCTCTTTGTTTTTATAGTTAGAGTTTAGAAAATTAAAATTTACAATTTCGTATATATACTTTAAGCCTGTGATATTTTTTGATAACTGATTATTATTAATACATCAAATACAGTTAATACACAATTATAGCAAACACTAACACATGTATACAGAATTTCATTTAGTACATGTACTACAAAATAATTTAAATCATTAACTGCATGAAAAGAAAGTATGGATGTAATGTAAAGTAATATTAGAACTTTGTATCTGGTGAAACATACAAACAATCAACTTTCACTGTTTTCAACATTTTATGTTGATTATTTTCAGACACTTAACACACATATAACTACTTCATTACAGTACTTTGTTTTACCTTTGTTTTGGGGGTCTCTGGAGGGGTAACAGGAGGGACCCTTGGGGAGTAAATGAGGGGTGTGTTAGGGTCATTGGAGGTTATCCAGTCTGGAGTATTGGGCCTCAGAGTCTTGTCTGCTATGTTTGCTTTTAATTCTAGCTCTCGTTGCAAGTCTTCTACAGTGTGTAGTGTCAGTCTGCAAAATGGACTTAAAATCAGTATTCAAAATTACTGGAGCACATACTGTTTTAAGTATTATTATACTGTTTCATATTAATGAACCCTTAGCTCCAGTGACATTTCCTTTTACTAGTCTTATTTTCAGCATCTGAACTTACCTTTAAACTTACTTATGTATCATTGAGCATTATTTTTTCAAATCACATTTAAGTGCTTTGCAAACATGTTTCTATCACTTGCAGATGGAAAGTTCGCAGAATTTAATTTTTCCCTCAATTATTTATTTATGATCTGTAGCATGTATGCTTCCTAAATATTAATATTTTATATTGTTACTATATCATAAATTGCTGAAAACTATGCCTATATATAATTAAGACTGTCATGCAGATACATCAAATAAATTTGAAAATGAGAACATTGACATGTGCAAAACTTGGTACAGCCAAGCAAGCTGTGAAAAAAACTATGTGTAATACATAATCTTGTACAATAAATCATCAGACAGACTGACTACAACTGTGGAAAAAAAATCTTCCTTCTTTTTAACTCTCACATTCAATCACATTTCTTATAAGATACTATATACATGTATACTAAGATAAATATACATTTTCATGCAGTTTAAATACATTAAATTTGAGTTTTCTTTTGTCATAAATGCATATCAGTTAGCAAATCTCAAAATGTAAATTAACTGATATTAACATTCCAGTCCCCCAGATCCACCACCTTAAATACATTATTTATGGATCATTATTTTTTTCAAATCACATTAAAAGTGCTTTATAAACATGAACCTTTAAATAACTTTTACTGATTCATCTATAAAGAGAGGAGTTTTTAAAAGAAATTTCTGGTGAGACTATAGCTCTACAAATTTTCTTTCATTATATTCTAAGAAAAAACTTCAGATTTTATACTTGAATCAATTCCTTTTGAATTTTATAATTTACAGAAATGCATCTTGATTAAAAAAATAATACCACTGCACTGTTTTGAAAAATGCTTACAGATGAAAAGGGATACAGGGAAACAGCTAGAAAGATAGATGGACACCATATCCATATGAAAGCTCTTATGGTCTTTGACCAGTAGAATTATTAACTTTCTTTTTCAGATTTCAAGTCAATGTGGAACAATTAGAATGGTGAAAGTTTCTATTAAGAATATGGAAGTCTGGATCAAACTCAGTGTTAGTTATGAATTTCAATTTTCTGAACATTTTTGGTGTACATATTGAATTGTATAATATTTGGGATGTTTTTTTTTTACTTTACAAAATACAAGAAGCAAGTGAGCCAATCTTTGACTTTCATAAAGAAAACTTAATTGGTGCACACACAGATGGATTATTGGGCCAATAATTGATGCCAGTTGGCAGCTTATTAGGGTTTTTGAAAATTATTTTACAAATACTTTTTGTTTACTGTGAAATTACTAATTTTCATGAGGGTATTAATTTTCATTGTTTTCATGGCATTAAGAGATCCACATATTCATGTCCTCCATGAAATGTAAAATTTAAAATCGATAACAACTTAGCAATTCTTCAATTACAAAATCATAACAAATCCCCACAAACCAATATTTCTTCTTCCAACCATGAAAATTAGACCCATGAAAATATGCGATTTTACAGTATACAAGTCTCTACTATTATTTTCTTTCAAATGGATAAGTAAAAGAAAAAAATAAAACAAGATCATCATGAAATTTCATGTCGGCACTTTGAAGGACTTCCCTTTTCTGTAACAATTTTAGATATGATTTCAAGGATTACTGAAAACAAGTACTTAAAATAGCACAAAATAATCTGTGCCAGATTCCCCTTTCAGCTAAAGATAAGTGATGGTATACATAATGTAATAGATAGCTATAATTGGCAGATTTACTAAAAGTCAAGACTAAAGATAAAAGTGAAGAAAACATGAAAAAAGGAAGATTGAACTAAAATGAAATGTGTGTACCAATACCTGTTTTTATACTTAAATGTAGCAATAAATTCCAAGAGTATACTGAAATATAAGGTGGAATATTTACAATAGCTGGTTGAAAATGATCGATAAAATGTTGGGAGACACTTTTTTAGGAATTGAATGCAAATACTGTACACCAACTTTCTTTTGCGTGCAAGAAATATCTACAAGTTTTGCAACCTTTTTTTCACTCATGGACATTTCTTGCTGTGAAACTCTTAATTGTGTACTTAGTGGAACATTTCCTCAGTCATCAAAATAAAAATCGTAGGTGGATTTCAAACATGAAGAATTGTGAACAGAAGTTGTTGCACAAATAATAGGTTTACAGTACTGCCCTCAATTCTTCATAAAACCCATACTTTTCTATCAAATAAAAAATACAAAAGGTATAAGGTATTAAAATGTAAACATATTCATAAAAACTTCTTTAATGATGGATATCAGCAGAACATTGTGGCACCTTCTAAATCTAAGATACCAATACATGTATTCTAGTTGTATCACTGTTCAGACAATATTTGAGGGAGAATTTTTACCACATATGAATATAGCTTTTATGAAGAGATATAGTAATGAAAGCAATTCATCTAAACTTGTTATAAAAGACAGTCATTCTGATTTAAAAGGTGCTACTATTTACACTAATCGCTAATGAGACAGACACACATTCTGTTATCTGAAAATCTCGGGGTTTATCATCCCTGTTTTATCAATAAAATCATATATCAATCATTATAAATCATTTATACTTTGTAGGTGAATTTATTTTTGCAACACAAAGGCATTGTTTTTTTTTTTTTTTACATCTCAATAAGAAGATTTGGCAGTGAGGAAGCAGCATTTCCGGTTGAACACCGTAACAAAAGCCGGCTATTGCTCTTCGAGCAATAAGCCCGGCTAAAAACTGTTACCCATTAATTTAACCTCAAACAAAATCCCTGTATGTGTTTACCTGTCTCCAATAGCACCCTTTGGTTTCCAGAATGATAGAGCTTCATCCCACATCAGCTGATCCATATTTACGTAGGTATAATGATCCTCACTGACCTTCAGTTTACTCTCCATTGCTCCGTTAGCAACTGGGTAACATTTACAGTAGAATTACAAATGCACATTAATACTGGCATTTCAGATAGAGTGAGATCAAATTATAGTCCACTTATAGCAATTATAAAACAATCTAAGCCATAAATTTTCGTATCTGATCAGATATATTTTAAATTTGTTCTTCTTGGAGAAATATTCTGGTAATACTTAACATTTCTTTTTTTTTTTTTTTAGTTTAATGTCTTTACAATATCACTTTTGCATACACATTGAGTTAAAAGAATTTAATGATAAATTCATACAGTAGTTTTTGACAACACAGTTACACAGATACCTGGCACAGAATCCATAGCCACTAATGCAACAAATGGTTGTGGCAGAGACACAATCTTTCCAAGGGTCTGGGAAAAAAAAAAAAAGAAATCATAGAAATAAAATCATTACAAGCAATCACATGTCCAAAATGCAACTACAACTCTGCCCTCCTCCAAATTAAATCAAACACCCTCCTGAATAAGTAAAAGGACAAATCTATTAGCTAGACTAATAGAACAAGACCTACTGTACATAAATAAATCCATATATAGTTATGTAAAGTTTCAATGCACACTAGATTTGGAGATTTTAAACACTTTAAAAGATGAAAGTGGATAGCAGTAGATTTGCACATAGATACATGTTTATAGAGGAAAATTACTCTACCTGGGGTCCAAGAAGCAAAGGGTCCCCAAGATCTGAAGAAAAGATAATTATATCTTATCACATATGTTAAAGACACAAAATTATGGTCATGATATTAAGAACATCTAATCTTATATATTTTTTTCCAGAAATTTCTTCTGTACACAAGTAGTTACTTTCAGTTTAGAAAACTGACATTCTATATTGAAAGTAATCTCCCTTCACACACACATAATTCTACTATATTTCTTACGGGGAAATTTCTTTTGATTTCTTTCAGCACTCCTCTTGGCACTGAGTACTCTGGGAGGATCCTTTTCTGGACTGGTTATCCCTTTAGCATGGAACTCAGCCATTTCTACTGACCCAGAATTCCTTATTGGCAAGGCTTTTCTGGACTGGTTTTATAAAAATATAATGTAGTCAAACATTTTAAAATAAGATTAAAAGCAAAAGCAAAACAAAAACAAAAACCATTTAATCCTCAAGCTTACTGTGAGGATCTCGTCACACTTGGACATCTTTGGAGCTTTGTTACTGATATTCAGAGACTGTTCCTGGACTTTCTGTAGAAGGAGCTCAGATAACTCTTCATACAATCTCCTTACCTCCCCCTGTTTAAAAAAAAGTTTTTTTTCTTATCATTAATTTTTCCTTTCCTGATTCTTATGATATTTTGAACCTTTCCAACATGTGAAGTTTTCTAAAGGAAAATGGTATCATATTTTTTTGTATTTATAATTCTTACCCCTTCTTGTGACACTGTGGTAGATACAGCTGTGATTTTTTGCTTGATGTCATGATCCCCAGTAGCAGTAACCACTAAGTTCATCACACCTGTAAAAGTTTAGAAAAACAACCTGCAGAATATTTTTGGAATAAAGTCTAAGCTTTGCATTTATAAAAGATCTTTGCTATCACAATTAACATACAGAACTTGTTGAGTTTCAGAAAGGATGATTGATTGGTTGTAGAATATAAAGAAATTTAAAGAAATGCAAGACACCATTTTAGTAAGTTCAATAATTTGGTCTTGATATTTTATTTATGAATTTTGAAACTGAAAACTCCCCACACTCTAGATACATCATATAAATGTATGCAAAGAAAAGCATTAGTTTTTAGTCTTCAGATCCTTTGAAAAGAATTCATTCATAGATAAAATAATGTCAATTTTCCAGACAGTACTTACCCACATCTTTGGCAACATACTGGAAAAAGGCTGGAACAATACACAGTAGCTGGACCACTTCTGATGCTAGTAGAGTTTTGTAATCATAGTATCTGATAAAAAAAAAAAATCAAATATTCTAAAAGATGAAACCATTTCAGGAATGTCAAAAACAATATTCTTGCAAACAATTTATTTATTAATTCAATGTAACTCACAGTGTGTTGAGTTTATATTTGACAGCAGAGTGTTTGGTATTGGAGGCATGGCTAAGTTTGACAAGCTCACTGACAGTGTAGAAAAGACACAGGTACAATTTGTCATACAACCCTCCATCCTGTAGCAAAAGGGAAAATATGACATGACTTCGTATGTACAATTATACTACCTAGAAATTTCACATATGGTACAATATTGTAAATAGACAATCTAATCAAAAACATTATTATTATAGCTTGCAGCATTACAGCAGTATCAGCACTTAAATACTGAAGATGTACATTTTTCCACATGGGATTAATTTACGCTATGTACACAAATTTTCAGCAAAAATTTGTCGCAGCATACTTAAAGTGCATTTAAGACATACAACGGCAATCCAAGAAAACTGCATAATTTTCTACCTGCGGATTGAACAGAAATTGTGATTCCACCGAATTATGAACAAAATATGTTTCCTGTATCAACCTCGGCCATTTGAGATTTCAAATGCTCTTTTACTGGTCCAAAAATAAGTCAAGAGAGAAACTTAGATACTCAATCAGGCTCATTTACAAATTTAAATAATATAATAATTATATGCATTATAGATAGGGCCATGTTACCTCTTTGACATCTTTATCAATCTTGACAGCTCCCAGTAAAATACACACTAATAGACACCTCACATCTCTTGGTAACAGGAAAAGATCCATGGAGTACACTTGTCTGGAGAAAATAGTACAAAGATGGTTTGTTAAACTGTTGATAACAGAATTTTTATTTGATTTACCATTAAAATAACACAGTTAAACTTGTCTAATCCAGATATTGCGTATTCTGAAATTTTGCCTGACATGAAAACTTTCAGCCCCATTCAGTCAATTTGACTATTTAAAATATGTTCTCTAATCCAGAATGTTGTCTGATAAATTTCTATGGAACTAGCAGTATCTGGACTACAGGTTTTACTGTACATATATTTCCTTAAATTTTATACAAACATTCATCTCTAGCTTATTATTTATCAAATGATCATTCATATGCACATCTTATGTAATTACATGTATTAGCAACCTTATGAGCAGAAAAATGCAATAATTGTACTGCAAGAGAGCACTATTAAAGAAGAATGACATTAATGATATAATGTATTCAGAATAATGGACAGACATTGTCAATCAAATAAATTAAACCAGCTTTGCTTTGTAATCTGACCCAAAAATGTCAAAATTACAAGAAAGCTTTAAACATCCATTTGAATAAAGGAATTCTTGAGACTTTTGAGTTATACAAGAGTTATAGCCTATAGACATTAACTTTCAGATTCACTCAAACTGAGACTTGTCTGAATGCAAAACTTGGTTGCCAAAAAATTTAGAAAGAAGAAAACACTTATAACTTAATTTCATCATTGTAAAGAAAGTATGTCACATTACTTTCTATTTGGCAAGTTAACTGCAAAGAGATGTTCGTGAAACACTTATGCCCTTCCCCCCAATTCCAAATAATTGGAATTTTTCTAAGTCCAAGAGGCATAACTCTGTCAAAAATTGCTCGATTGTATCCAAAACAGAACTTGACCTAGATATTTTTATGATAAATCTGTATATTAAATTTCATTTCAGTATGTGCAACCTCTGTGAAGAAAATGAACGGAAAGTTCAAATAATTGGAATTTTTCTAAGTCCAAGGGGCATAACTCTGTCAAAAAGTGGTCAATCGTACCCAAAACAGAACTTGACTTAGATATTCTTATGATAAATCTGTACACCAAATTTCATTTCAGTATGTGCAACCTCTGTGAAGAAAATGAACAGAAACTGTTGGTGGACCGACAGACAGCAGCAAAGCAATATGCCCTCCCTTCTTCGAAGGAGGGCATAAAAAAAAGTTGATGTTCTGACAATGCGTCATTTTTAAATACATGTATACCACATCCCTGTCACTTAATATCCTTTAAACTCACACTGCTCTGCAGAAATATTTCCTTAAAATCAAATTCATATTTTTAAAAATATTTTCTGTACAATCTTTTTTTGTGTTTCAACCCCCCCCCCCCCCCTTTGAAAAACTGAAGCCATTCTAAAGGAAAACAGTTGCCATGTTTCAAAACATACATATTATGATCAGAATACATCGTGCACTGAGAATAACTGGTGGTCTTTATATTCTGTGAGTGAATAAATAAAATATTCTACAATATCTAATTTCATAATCGGAATGTAAATAAAGTTGTCAGACGGACTATGTATTTTTGTCAACTACCATGAAAGAAAACAGAATAAAGAACCCATTTTCTACCAAGGGAATTCGAATGCAAAAAGAATGTCATGTTTCTGGTGGAAATCAAGTATTAAAAGTACATGTATTGATTGTTTTGTTTATAAACTAATGTGAGATTTAAAAAATATATGTTTTTATCATAGATATTCATTTACCCGATGGGACAAGTACATTGAAGTTTAACTTGCCCAAATTGAGAATTTACTTGCCCCGGGCAATTGGACAACTGTCGGATCCCTGGTTAATCTCTGACTTACCCAATCTTGTTTAGTTTGGCTGTGTCCAATGTTTCCTTCACAAGATGTGTCGGTAAAACAAATTCCAGGGAAGCCTGTCATGACAATAATTTATATATAGTTACACATGTATAAACAAAGTATTTATTATTTATGTCATCACTGTGCTTTTATGATATCTTGTGATGATTTTAATCTGCTGAATTGACCCTACAACTTATACATGCCAAATATATTACTATCATGTGTTCTTCTTTTCTTGTGATTCAAATTAGGGCAATTTTTATACAGAGTTCATGTGATACTTTTAATTTCATAGCGACTATCAAAAATATGAATCATACATGTATATATATGTATATACAAACATGACACCATTTTATGATTCAACAAAATATTCTAACCAGCATGTTCATTTGCACAAAATTAAGTGTATGTGCAAACAAAACAAATAGACAACTTACCACCAAAAATAACAGGAGCATGTTACATCTCTCTCTGTCATCAGGACGAGCTTCTAACAGATCCTCAATAAAGTTACTTCTGTATTTCATCACCTGGAACTCTCTGTAAAAATATTTATGTCAATGAAATACTGATGTTTTGTACTGTGTCTTTGCAGACTTGATGTCAGATAACTCTGTTCCTCATTGAGCTTAACAAATCTGAGGAGGTGAATGAAAATCAAAACTGTATTTACAACTACCTGTTTGTTGATTTGAGATACTGGGGATTAAAATGTATACCTATTTGTGTACTTTTTGTCTATTATCAAGTCCTCCTGAATATTGTAGCCAAGGTATTTCAGTCTTTTCTTGTCAATCTCTGAAGATGAAATCACACATTCAGTGAAACAATCAATTATTTAGATGATATTTACATTTTCCTTAAATTTCTAGATAGGACACATCCTCCCCCCCCCCCCCCCCCCAAAAAAAAAATGTTTTCTGCATTGTACAACCAATATATATATATAAATATGTCACACAGACTTTGTATTTCCCAAAGTCAAACTTACCTATATTGTGCACACCATTTGCTGGGAAACTGGTCATGACTTTGGTGGCCTACAATGTCATAAAATGTACTTAACACAAACATACCCACAGTATATTTGAATAAAACAACAAGGCTGTATTCTGAGAATTCATGAACATTTCATATTCAGAATTAAGCAAAACCTTTCAAAACCTCAAAGTGATGGTTGAAATCTAGGACTGAAAAACTTTCTCAAATTATATCCACATCATCAATAAAGTTAAAATGCTTATAATGAAGTGCTAGGGATGAAAAATTTGATTCATTATAAATGTAATTCATGATTTCCAATAAGTTTATAATATGCTTGAAAGTTACTTCAGGGAATGAAAATCACTTTGCTGTTAATGTGAATTCATTATAAGCATATTTGCTGTGACCTTGTTTTTAATGCACCTCTACCAAGCATTTATCATTTCAATCCGGCTATAACCTTTAAAAGAAAGTTATAGTTTGTTATAAATGAGTGTAATATTATATAAATATTGCATGTAGTTGACTGTAACAAGCACCTTGGTTGACAATGGTTTTCTTGGGGTGAACATTTTCAATATTACACTCACCTACATGCAATATTTATTATATTATACTGAATGTTTTACACAAACACATATTAAAGTGAACCTTGCGCACATAAATTCAGTCAGTATTTTTTGGAATAACACCCATCGTCAAGCAATGTGGACTGTTGCTACGCTGGAGGGCGTGCTTTATTATTCAGCGGGTAGTAGTGTCTTTTAACAAATGTTTCTCGACAAATCAGATTCAACTAATTTACATGAAAGTATAATATAGTTGAATATCTGTGATACTTACCTTTGGTCCATAGATACCATTGACATCTACTCTTTTTCTGGCTGTGGGTATGAACCATTCTTTGGACAATTTGTGTCTCTGAAAAGTTACAATTGATAGCATATTGAAGTAAATTTCGAAGGTAAAATAGCAAATTCAAATAGTCAGTGAAATAAATAACTCTCTCTTTTTAAAACATCAGATTTGGCTGTAATATAACACTTCACATATAGTTACTTACTATTGGTTTTGACGTTAATGCTGAATCTTGAAAAAAGTGCTTGACTTGTAGTCTCTCTGCAGCTTTAATGATATCAAAATTGTTTTTTTTAATAATTCAATGCTCTAACATGGATAATGATTAAATACAATTCAAATCTAGTCTGTTCAAAAGAGTGTACCATGTGGGTTGTTAGACAGAAAGACTATTGAGATGCAATTCAGATAAACATCCTTAAATGGCTTTATATTATCATTTTCATCTGTCAAAAGTTCTTCAGACAGAGATTTTTTTTTAAAAATACATCATTAAGACACAATAATAGAGAAAGAATTATCAGAACTTCAACCATCACTTAAATAAAGATCAAAAAGGGTATTAAGGGAAAACTATGTACCATCTGAAGACAGGCGTTTATTAAGGCTTTTTCTTAAGTGATAATTTATATTATCATTTATATGATAAATCATATAAATATAAATCATATATAAATGATATAAAATCATATAAATCATATAAATCATATGACATCATATTGATGTGATAATTTTTCCAGTAAATATAGTGTAATGTTGTGTTGCTTTAAATATCAAAGAGATTTGAAACTCTGTGTCCTGCTGAAATCATTCTTTTGAAATTCTTCACAACTGGTGAACATTTAAAAATCCTTGAAAAAGAAAGTATTGATTTAATGCTTTTGTAAAAAAGGGAAAGGAAGAAACACATTTTTCCCCCAAAAATATGTCATCTGCATGGTGTTTCAAAGCAAACATAATTTCTCTATTGATAAATTCTATCCTGTCCACAACTTAGTTTGTTTGAGTGAGATGTAAATATTGGTTCAGATAAATGTAGTGTAAATCTCATTACTACCATTCTAATTTCATCATTGGGCCTTAAGCATGCTAAAAATCTGATAAAGAACAAATCAATATTTAAAGGTAAATAGAGCATACAATTATTGGATCAAAATGAATTTCAAAAGAATCCACACTGCATGTGTTTAAATTCTTCAACACAGGTAAAATCAAGAGTAGTGGATTGGTATCATCAGTAAAGAAGATACTAAAGCAATGGTAATCATTAAGTGCTACCTTCTATTGAAATAAAAATATTTGAATAGAGTACTAAGAATATATACCTAAACAACGTTTAAATTTACTTTGCTTTTATTAAACATTGATTAATAACCTTACATGTAATTATACGGCCATCCAGCATCCACACATTTGGCAGACAGTCTATCAGGTGAATCCGATCTAAAAACAAAATACATGTACCATAAAGTAATGACTCCAAGCCTGAAATTACTGTAATTTCAACAAAATCCTTCATACTTCAATCAAGCAATATCAGTAGAAATTTTCTATATCAATCTCTACCAATTTTCAACTTTTAATTACATTAAAAAAATGGACAAACTAACTTTTGAAGGGGAGAATTTATCAAACATTATGTTATAATCCATAATCACATATGCAGTTCTAATCATATGTTGAGATAAGTGTGACTCATTATTATTAATATTTGAGCAAGCTCTCTGATTATACATCATAGGTTTTAAATGATGGGTACACTGTAATAAAACACTAAAAGAAGAACAAATGTAAACTATTAAAATAATTTTTTCAGAGTATATTAAAAAAAAGTTTTCTTAAGGTAACTGACTTATAATTTGTTTAAATGACAGATCCTAAGTATTATAATTTGCTATAATCATTATCATATGCTCAGTTGAAAGAGCCTATATTTGGGTGAAAACCAATCATCTTTCTTTTGTGTATAAAACTCATGTGGTATCATTTCCCTGTAAATAAAAGTGGAATTGTCTATAGTTACTTTAAACAGTATGTACACAAATCTATACTCGTGTGTTTGATTAGCTTTTGACAATGCATTCCCAGCGAGGAGCTTCCTACGCAAGTTTTAATCAAATTACCAGCAAGAACAAAACTGGAAAAAGATTCTCTTTAATTGAATGTAAATTCATGCTCAACCCTATGATTAATAAACAATGTCATTGTTATGCCTTCCAAATGGACACTTGGTCATTTGTAAACCTGAATATCCTTTATAGTTTCAAAATTCAAAATCAGGGTAAAAAGTTTCAACTGTTGGAACGTTAATTGTTGTGCTTGCAATTTTTCTTGTCTGAGAACAAACTACAAACAAAACATGCTGGGGATACATAAAAATACCCGTTTTTCTTTCAGTTTTTGCTAAATATCCCAGTCTGCATAAACTGTTGATACAAATCCTTTTAAACACTCGTTGTGATTACATCTTTCTGATCTAATCAAACAATAGTTCTAAATGATCTAAACTCATTGACACAAAGCTTTAAAGCTATTTATTGTACATTTTCAGATAAAATTTAAAGCAATGTGCCAAAGACCACGTCTTTACTCCAAATGACTGATGGATAATACATTGGATGTGTCAAAAAAGACTCTATATCTGGAAAAAACTCTGATATTTTATCACTGTAAAGGGACATTTGTAGCAGTAAAAGATAAACTCAGGCAACAACATGTATACACTGTTAGTTACACCTCTTGGCATACATGTCTACTATAACTACCAGGAAAAAGATTCTTAATCTTAAGTTCCACAAAGAAAAACATTATAACTCTATTCCCCTGGATGTCTGTGCCACTGTAAGCTAATTTACATATGCCACCTGAAAACTTGCAGTTTTTTTTATAAAGACACCTGGAAAATAAATCTATTTTGTGGGTTTCGTTTGGTAATTCAAACATCGCAATAATGTGGAGCACTTGTCAAATATATCTACTGGTACATTGTAACAATTCTGAGACAAAGACCTATACAGGTATGCTGAATAAATCTTCCTAGTGTATGTTTACAATTATGATAAAACAGAAAGTTTACAATAAATCAAACAAATGATCAATTAGCAGTACCTGGGTATCGGTAGAAGGTCACATGGTGTTTACTAATGGGTCTATCATCATTTTATTCCTAACCAAAATGTTTTCAACTTAACCCTTCATCTATATTCAGAGACTAGTGCATGTCTGATCTTATGTACATTTCAAATTAATGCATGCATACTTACAGTATGGATCTTTTTCCATTTGACTGTTGCCATGGAGACTGAGGTTCAGAATGTGAATGTGTCGAATTTTCCCAAGTTCATGCCATGTCAAGTCATTGTTAGAAAGATTTAATGTTCCTATTGCAACAAAACGAGATAGTCCATCCAAACTCTTAATCTACAATGTTTCAAAAAGTCAAAACCTTTATGTTAAACTTGTGTTCTTTATGCAACCTTCCAGTGTCTTATATTATGGATAAAAACTTCAACATAGTAAAATCTAGCAAAATAAAATACTAGTTTACTTAAGGTCATTAAGTCAGTTTGTTAAACACAGAAATGAACAACAATCTTTTGAGCTTATATACCTTACATTTATGATTTGAGACTGATGCATTTATTAGAGTTCAGTAATGACCTTAGCCACGAGTAAACATAGTTCCTTTATCATCTTAAAAACAGTATCAGGTTATTAATTTTCAGGCATAACTGGATATTTGTGATGATGGCATTTGATACTTACCTCATTACTACTAAGATCTATATTCCACAATTGAGGGCAGCATTCCAAATTTGTTACTTCGTAAATCTTATTTCCTCTTAAAGTAAGTGTTTGCAACTTTGGACAGTTACTTAACTTCTCTATTACAACTGAAATGAGCAACATATAATTTAAAATATGTCATCATTTGTACCTGTACTAGCTTTTCAATTATCAACTTCTTGCTCAATTTTCCAAGACAAATCACAAAATTCTTGTACTTTTTAATATTTTTATGAGCATTTTATGCTTTCCAAGTGTAAGTGTAAATTGTTGACATCTCAAAAAGAGATTAGAGTCTGATGAAGAGGATATTTTGCTTACAGCTTTATGAATGCAAATTTGTTAGGTATAATATACACGTGTATCACTGTATAATCATTTGCATGATTTACTTCCTTCACTAAATTATTGTAAACCAACTTTTATTCACGTGCGAGAAATATCTGCGAGTTTCGAAACCTACTTTTACTTGCAAATATTAATCGCAGCGAACCATCTATTTTGCTTTCTATTTATAGAGAATGTTTACTAAGTCGCGAAAATTAATCGTCACGGATTGATTTCAAACTGACGAATCACGAATAAAAGATGACACGAATATTAGTTGGTTTACAGTAATCTCAGTTCCAAAGATTTCAATAATTGTTTACAGGATATCATCACTGAATAATTATATTATACCCTATAGATATTAAATAGCTGCATAAGTAAGTAGAAATATAAATATAAATTAAAGTTTAATAACACTCGCTATATTTAGATTTAACTTACCTATTTCAGAATTTGATAGGTCTATGTATTCTGCTGCTGGTAATGGACCTTTACATTTTGATCTAAGAAACTATTATTAAAAAAAATGCACATGTAACTGATACAGGTATGCTGAAAAAAAATTACTATAGTCTTTATCAGCCTTCACTCTAATTTTAAGCTCAATTACAAGACTCAGAACATGTCTCATTTGATATGTTCTCTGCAGTAAGTTAGTACAACCACAAATCCATGGAGGCAATTAAGTCTACATAAGGTTGTCAATTAAGCATTAGTGTCACAGAGTATGAGTTTTCAGCATTAAGCATGTGAAGTACAATATTTGCTTAAATACTTTGCAGCCTCCATCAATCTGTGATTTAGAATGAAGCTTATGCACACATTATCTAATATGTCCATTTAGTTATCACAACCAAACCATACATTTCAAAGATTGTAATCTGACTGCTAAGTGTAGCAGAAAATTGACTTGCATGTAAATGATTTCACATGTACACTTTTTGAAAAAATTATTCTCTTCTGTTACTTGAATAAACATAAGATATAACATGCCAATAAAAATGGTTGGTACTGAATTGACACTGTTCTAGAGGCATTTAAGTTATTTTCCTTGTGACATGACATTGTTACACCAAATATTGTTTCAATATCTTTGACAAACCAACTTCTTTTTCAGAGAAAAAATTACTTTAAAAAATCATTTTAGAAACTTTAACATTGTAATTAAGATTGCTGATGATAATTTCGTGTGTCCTTTCTAATATAAAGTTAAACTTTCATATAAAAATGTGTAATGTGCAGGAAGTTCTGTACGTTTCATTCTCACATTATTAACATCGATCACCCTAGTTTTCTAAACTCACTCCACAGTTCATACTCTTATAAGTCATCAATAATAAATTAATTACCAAAAAAATTATAATAAAGAATACCTGTACTGTTATCCTCATTTTCTTTCCCTTTTATTCCTCATACTGAAACTTTTCTCTTGTCAGGTTGTTGTGCACCTGTTTACCGCTAACAAGTAAACAAACCCATACGCTGTAGAAAAATAGATCACAATAGTTTTACCCAGTAACTTTAGATCAGGGTTTACTTTTGAAAGATATTTAGATAATTTTATTAATGTTATAAATTTTTGGACATATTCATAGCTATCATTAAACTAGTTACCTCTAATAGGTAAGATTATATATTTTCTTAAAGAAAATATGCGCAAGAATAAATCACTTTGCCCAAATAATTGTATCCCGATCCCGATTGACAATAATTGAAAATATGCTCATGCACATAACGCGCATAAACTAGCACAAAATTTATCTGCACAGACCTCCATGTTATGACACGCTGAACGTCCAAAATTTTCCATTTAATAATTATATTTACATTTATGATTTTCATGGAAAATTGATAAAACAATGCATCTTTGAATACATCCTCGCAAGCCAGGGGTCCCGAGTCAACAGGTTGCCGTTGGATGACAACGTTTTGACTCAGGACCCCTGGCTTGCGAGGATGCTTTGAATCAGAGACATATTGAATACAGTACTCGTATATAGCTAAATTGAGGAGCAACCGTTACTGTTCAATGTGAATTTTGGTTCATTTTGATTTTGGTTCAACGTTTGTTACGTCAAAATGAAAACGTTGCTTTAACCTTTTGACCCCTCCCAATGTATTGCGTTTTGTTTTTGTTTTTGAATGTCACAATTTTAAACATATCATACGAAAAATATAATCTATGTTTGTAAGGCTCATTATTTGAATTGTATTTTAGAGGAACTAGGATTTAATTCTACGGGTGGAATTCCAACTTACACCCATAGCTCCCTTTCTAAGGAGGAAATTCTTCAAAATCATATGTCCGTTTTAATTAGTTTTAATATTCCCAACAATCAAAATGGATTTGAATTACCATACCTTTAATTAACTGGATTCCTAAACTTCATAAAAATCCTTTCATTTGAACAAAGATACAGCAAATGTTTACCAAGCCTCTTTCTTTACTCTTCATTAAATATTTACTGTAATGAAGGAGAAACTTCAGGAGTACTGTACAACAGTATATTCGAGAAGTGGTATAAATCAGATGTGGATATTTATAAAGACTCCAAAGAACTTTTGGAAAATTTGAAATCACAAAATTTTACTAAAATCAATAGCATCAAAACGTTCGACTTTTCAACAATTTATACAACCATTTACCATGATAAATTGAAGTACAGGCTTTTTGTCATCATAGACAGCTGCTTTTTCAATAAAAATGGAACTCTTGAATATACTTAATACCTTGTCATTGGTCGTTTACAAAATTACTTTGTTAAAAAGTACTCTGATTGTAAATACAAGTACTCTGAAATTGATATTAAAAAGATGCTTGAGTTTCTGGTTGACAATATCTAATATGTAGTTTTTGGAGATCAGGTCTTTCAAAAATCTGTTGGAATTCCCATGGGTACCAATTGCACCGCCTTATATTAGCAGACCTATTTTTGTATACATATGAAGCAGAATTTATTCAAAAACTTCTACATGAGAAGAAGAAAACACTGGCTGTGGCCTTCAACTCGATATTTCGATATATCGACAACATATTAATTAACAATAGTTACTTTCATTCATATGTCGACTCGATATATCCAAGTGAGCTTGAAATAAAAGATACCACAGATTCTGACATATCTGTTTCATATTTAGATATTTTACTAGAAAAAGACCTTAATGGTAACCTAACAACAAAGCTTTATGATAAATTTATGATAAACGTGATGACTTCAACTTTTCAATCGTCAACTTTCCTTACTTATGTAGCAGTATATACCCTTATCACCTGCATATGGAGTTTATGTCTCTCAGTTGATTCAATACGCAAGCGCATGCTCTACATATGAATATTATTTCTAAAATGAGGCAAGCTATTGACAAACAAGTTGATGAAACAAGGATATCAACAGTCTCGTTTTAAGTCATCTTTTCGCAAGTTTTACGGTTGATGCAATGACCTTGTCAGCACATACAAGTTATCATTGAGTCAAATGCTGACTGACATTTATCTACTAATTGTTAGGCCATTATTTATACACTCAACTGTCTACGGATTTTTCTTTTCTTTTTTTTTTCCCGATCATGACAAGGAGCACACAAATCGTAGTATTACTTGGGTACAAAATATTTCACGTGAAGTTCAACTTACCAAATTTGGGGGTGTTTTCCACTCAATATTGTAATCTGTATTAAAACAAAGCCATCACCCATTTTTCCCAAGCAAGATCAAGTTTGAGAACACTCCTCTTACAGATTTGCACAGAAGATATAAAATCAACCCTCATTAATCGCCTAAGCCAGCCAGTTTTATACACACATTATAAATTCTCTTCTTACCATGGGTATAAAACAGAGTACATTTCAAAAGTTGAACGTTTTGATGCTATTGTAAGTACATTGTATTTTGAATACACTGAATTTCGATCAATGGAAGTTAAGCAATGTATTTTAGAATCTTCAGACATGTAAGAATTAAAAATACAATTAAGACACAACAATTCGCAATAACGTAAAGTTTATGACACTCTCCTGGTCATGACAGCTCAAGTTTGCAGTGACTTGACGTCATTTTCCATTATGACGTCATATATTGGTTGTTCAGAGAAGTGAAGGCACAGGGTGCACTTCCATATTCTATGGGAAACCTTAACCTACCTGCGTTCATATTGAAAAGTTGAAATATAAAAGAAACTTCTACCCGATGATGCTTCTGAATTAATATGACTAATAATAGCTTTGCTGTTCTTGAGAAGATTTTTATCGATATATCCATTATATAACTATGACCCCTGTTATGGCCCCTCTATACTCCTTGTGGGGGGGGGGGGGGGGGTCATGATTTAAACAAAATTGAATCTACATTACCTGAGGATGCTTCTACATTATTATGACCAATCATTAAAGATTCTTCTCATGTATTCCTATGTAAAACTTTTATTCCCCATAGTGGCCACATCCAACCCCCAGGGATCCTGATTTGAACAAATTTGATTCTGCACTACCTGAGAAAGCTTTCATACAAATATGACCAATCATGGCAATGGTTAGTCATATGAATATGCAAGCATTCCAATGCAGTGTAGATTCATATCTGTTCAAATTATGATTAGGGTTAGGGTGGTCCAATATCGAAAATTTTAAAAATTGATTTACAAAATTCAATTCTTTTACACAATTCTTAATTTTCGACACATTTCAAAGTTTATAACCAAAACAAAAACACCAGCAGGTTTGAATTATACAAGTTTTGTATCTGCACATTATGTTTACATTTCCTGTATTTGCACTCACCATGTGTTGCTGGTAACAAAACTTCCGACAGTTAATAACCTATTTCAATGAAATTAATCAGATGATTAAATGTACTACTCATACCTTTGTCCTTGCCTTTGTGCTAAAATATGTGCAAGCCATATATAATATGTGCCTCTCCACTTGAAATTATTAATGGAGTTATTCCCCTTTAAAGTGTTCATTTTACATTTGGTAAATAACTGTTATTGATAAATATTAAATAACAGTTAGATAAATGATGTAGCTATTAGAAATTCTCATTCTGTAAGGGATGTCATTAAAATTTCATTGAAACTTAATCTTTTGTCAACCACAAACATTAACATTTAACACAAGTATTCAAATGTGTGAGCTATGTTTATTCACAGTTATGGATATAAAAATAAAAATATGCTGAATTGACACCAAGGAAAATTAAGACGAAAGTCTGCTAAACTACATGATGACAGTAAGAAGACATGTCTGAAATCTCCACGGGGACATATACAGCACATAAAGCAGTCACCTACTCAGGGAAAGAAAGGGGGAAACTCAGTCCACAGCAGACTGGCACACAAAAGCTTATAACACCTCTGTTATTCACTCAATTTAAAAAAAAACTCTCATATAATCTATACATGATAATAATATTAATAACATCAACAATTGGTCAGTAATGTAATCATAGTACTCTTGTAGACTAGAAAATGAATGAGTACAGATATATAATTCTTTTTACGCGCCCTATATATAACAATTCACAAGCCAAAAAAAAAGATATCATAGTTGCTGCAAGCAGCTCATATATAGTGGTATTTGTATATATATAAAATATATAATTAAATTATGCAACAAAAACAAGCAAATGGCAGTAAATTGACAATCCAAAAACCTACAACTTTAACAGAAATAGCCCTAAATTTTTCAAGTTATTCTTATATCATTAAACCTCATATTTCCAAACCAATCCCAATATATTTTCTCTGAATGAAAACTTGGCATTTATTACATTTAAAAGATACAGTTGAACTGTGTTGGCACATTCAGGTACTCCAAAGTTTTTGTTTTGTTTGTTTTTTTTGCAAACTATATAGATAAAAAATTAAATTACTTTTTAAGGCCAAAGCCTAGTACATTGTATAAGCAACATGTATCTACTTAAACAAAAAAAAAATTCAGCATAAGAAAGAAAATTCAGGATTTTCTGAAACATATCACCACTTAACCAATTCCACACACGACAAAACATATGGATTAACACTACAACCCATTTTAAAATTTCTTTTTGCAACCACACTGAGGCACTCCCACATCATTTTAGAATTAAAATTCAGTCCATCTTCTGTGGTGACAGAAAACTGCTAATATGGGATACCCAAACTTTCATTTAATTATAATGTATAATTCTAGTACTTCAAAAAATAAGAGGAAAACTCTTCACTTAAATGCATCTTATATTAAATGATGTATGGGGGAGAGAAAAAAAAAATCAGCACTAAAATTGATTCTGTACAATTATCTTACATACAGTTAATATTTACAAGTATGTACAGTTTCTACATCAGAGCCAGCCTGGATTCAATACAATATGAGCATTGTACACAACACAATACATGTACAATAATTCTGTTCATTGGATTATATCACAAGGAAAATTATGTACATGAGACAGCAAGTCAAGTTCCAGCACTGTTCAAAGGAGAATCAGCTAATGAGCTGCTCTCATATTTCTTCAGAGCCACACCCATCACCTATGATCACGAGAGGGGCGTCGTCGTTTACTGACGGGAGGTAGGGTATCGGTTGCATCTGCAAAACAAAAATTAATCTTAATTGAAACCTTTATGGCCTTATTAATATTTTTATCTGATGATAATCACAATTGTTTCGGAATGAAAGGACCTGTAAGATTACTATTTCAAATGAACTCTAGGACAAATGATATGATGGAGATGAACACATAGGTACTTAAAATAACGAGGGATAGAACATAATTACACTGTAATATACATTATATACATATATGCTACAAGCTAGTTAAGTTTATCATGGTAAAAAGAAGCATCTTTTGAGAAAGTAATTATATAAATCCCAACTAAACAATGATCAGAACTACATATTAGATTCTGATAAACTTTTTGCATGTTGCCAAATGACAAAAACTTTTAAGTATCTTAAAATGATGATATGTACCAGTTTAAAAAAAAATCTGCACAAATATATTTCAAAATTTTTTCTGTCATTTTTTCTCTATAAGGCATATTGAACTAGTAAAGTAGGATAATTAAAAAAAAAAATATGCAAGATAAACAACACCCAAGAGGACAGCATAAAAAACCATTAAAAGCTTTGCACAACATCAAATAAATACTGGTACCTTACACTAATACAAGCCTTCCAATACGAGTCATTTCAATTGGGGAGCTGTAAAATATGCCTCTCCATTCTCTGTGAGCATTAACATAATGAACACTTAATTATCAAAATGGCAAAACTCAACTTTTTACTACAGTGGTTCAAACCCTGTGCATGATGCACATTCAATTAGTACAAAAATGATGAATGAATGAGAAAAATGATCTTTAAGCAGTCTCACCTTTGATTTCACCTTTGGTTTTTGTGGATCTTGTAGACCTCTTGTTTAAGTCTTCCTCTGCATTTGGTAATGTCTGTCCTCTGGTTCGACTGCCACGGAGAGGAGACTTTTCTCTAATTGCTATAAAAGTCAATAACTACTTTTTGCACATTATCTCTAAAGATTTACAACCAATTTTTAAGTGTTAAAAAAAGGAAGTCCAAGCTCTAAACTTAACATTCATCAATAAAAATGTAATATTTAACATGAAACATTACTATCTTTTTATCCTTACCACTTGCTGGAGTCTTTTCAGCAGGAACAGTAGGAGAGAGTTTCTTTTGGCGGGAAACTTGTTTATTTTTGATGAAGTTTTCATCCTCTGCTTTGAATTTCTTCACTTCTTTTACACCAGATACTTTCTGTTTCTCCTCAACTGATTTAGCATTACTCCGAGCTCTTAAACCAGACTTCACACCATCTACCACTGAAGAAGTTTCTGTTTCTTCTTCACCTTTGGAAGTGTCCATTTTCTGGAGAATAGGGGCCTCAGTCTTTTTACTGCTTACATTAGCAGTATTACTTTCTTTAAGGTCATTGGAGCGTGTATGCTTTGCCACATCTTCATTCTCAATCAGTGGTTTCTTTGCCTCAGGTTCACCATCATTTGTGACACACTTCCGCCTTCTTAGATTACGTTTCAGTGATTCATCATCAGATATTAAATTTTTGTTTGAATCCTTTTCAGTGTTTTTGTCAGATTTACTATCAGACTGCTCCACAACTGACTGTTTTTGGGCTTTAGAATGCCGAAGGTTATGCAGGGGTTCTTCAGGACTCTTGGAGGTGCTTTTACCCCTCAATGTCATAGACAAATGAGATTCCTCAGTGTTAGCTGCCAATACTTCAGGAATACCTTTAGAAGCATCACTGGATTCAGCACTTTTTCGCACTCTGATAATGATTGGGGGCACTGTGGGCTCAGACTTGTCCTGCTGCCTCTGTTCAGATGGCTTCACCTTTGTAACAACAGTCACTTCCATGTTTTTTTCCTCCAACTCCAGTCGTTTTGATTTGAAAATAACATCCCCATTTCCTTTTGTGGATTTGGAACTTGATTTTGGACTCTGTTTTGTGTCAGTATTTCTAGAACTACCTGGATTTGTGTCATCCAACTGCTTTGTGTCATCAGGTTTACTCTGCGAATGATTTACCTTAACTGGTGTTTCTAGTTTTAATTTTTCATCTTTCATATGAGACTCCATCTTCATATTATCCTTTTCTGAATAGCCTGGATTCTGAGTCTCTTGCTGAGATTCTTTGATACCAAAGGGTTCACTAATAGGAGTACTACCAGATGTGTCTCTTTTAAAAGTAACTGATTTTGAGATATTTTTATTTAAACTGTCAGTAGGTTGCAGTCTTTGCGCTGACTGCTCACATGTTTTCAGTTCAAATTGTCTATCACAGTTTTCAACTTTACTACTAGATATTTCATCTTTTATAGAAGAGTCTTGTAAACTTGGTTTTGACTTATCGAGAAGACTTTGTGATTTTGTATCATGAAAATTTTGTTTGCAGTCAATTTCAACACCCAGGTGATTTTCTGCTGGCACACTGCTGAATTCCAATTCATGACTAGATTCAATTTCTAAAACTGGTAGTGGAGCACTATTTTGTAGTTGTAACAGTTTTTCTATACCCTGACTAGATGCACTATGCTCATTAAAGCCGTGGAGTGAATTAACAAGGTCTCCAGGATTAGACAAGTCAGTTTCAGAAATCACAGCTGCTGAAGATAAAGGAATTGTCTGTTTTATTGTTAAAGAGTCTAAACCAGAGGAATTTCTACTCTCACTAATTTTGGCAGGCTTTGATGGTGATGAAGAGCATGAGACTTTACATGAAGAATTCACAGGAGATTTACGCTGATGAGGTAGAGAAGAATTTTCTATAGATGGTAAGGCTTTCACTACTTTCTGTACAGACTCTGTTAAGCTTTTAGCCAATGGTAACCCTGGATTCAAAAAATGCTGCTGATGTGAAGTAGTGCCTGGCCCAGTGGGAGACCGTCGTCGATACATGTTGGTCACGTTCCGACTCGAGTCCGATGAGTGAACAGTTTTTGATGTTAGTGGTGTGGCTGACACACTTCCTTCCACATTTCCCTGAGACACATCACAAAGTCTTTTCTCTACCACAGAATTTCCCATTGTAAAAGTGGACACAGCTGTGTCCATTTGATGGGGTACTGAATTAGCTGTTGATGAGCTAGATAACTTTCCTTTTAACTCCTGGGGACTTTTTGAGTATTTTCTTTGCATCTGAAGGTCTTTGGACATCACAGAATTTAAGGAATTGTTAGAATCAAACCCAGATGAATACTGTACACTTGGATGGAGATCACTATTGCACAAAACTTTGCTTACAGCAGAATTTCCAATGTCGCACTGTTTGCTATAATTCGGCACTGGCAGTTGACTCACACTAGATGATGATGAAAATGATGACACTGCACTGACATCAATATTGCTTGGAAGCACAGCCTCGTTAGCATTACTTGACACCATAGGATGATAGGGTCCCTCAATGTCTGAAACAGACATACATATACTGAATTATCAAATTATAGATAATCTAACTAAAAGCTATGTACATGTATACTTTCACTCAAGGAGTTTCATACTTTTTCTACAACAGTAATACTAAATTTTGAAAGTTTATCAAATGACTAAGCAATAATTTACTGCTAACTACCAGTGAAAAAATTAGCATTTTGTGGATAAATGATTCAACACAGCTGTGCCTATAATTATTATATGAAAAGCATTTACTGTAACCTTGTAAACAGATCCAGAGTACATTAAAATACTCAATTTCAACATGCACAGCTCCATATATATATAATGTATAACTACATGTATATATACAAGATACTTCTAGTGCAAAATTAATTTTAATGTCAAATACCCTATAGATTACATGTATATCAGAACTGTATTCTACTGATAAATGATATCTGTACAAAATTTATACTTTTACAAGGTTTGAATTATGAGCATGATGAGTTTCATGATATTACTGTACCAATTTATACTCTTTCAGAGTTTGAATTATAAATGCCATGTACCTGTAAAATACATGTGTATATCCTTGCAAGTTGGAACTCTTTCTGTAGGAGAACTATCAGATATTTCAGAAAACAATGTTTGGGTGAAGATACTTTGCAATATTGGTATCTACTGTACCATTAACTATTTCTAAGCCTTGGGAAATTCTGCAAAGATTTCTACCATATTCTCAATAGGGAAACAAGGCTTAGGTACATAAAGCACAATTTCTGAGTTTGGAAATGTGGCCTTTGATAGTGTTGATAAAATGTGTGTGTGTATATATATATATATATATATATATATATATATATATATATATATATATATATATATATATATATATCAAAGACATTACATCATAAGATTTTAACTCTTCAAACAGTTGTCCTTTCTCTTTAATAGAATTTTTGTTCAAATTTGTAAACAAAACAAAGAAAAAAGCTAACAAAAATAAAACCAAACCAAACAAAAACATAAATACACATAAAGAAACACAAATGCAGAAAAAGCAAGATGTGAAACACTGATGCTCCCATACTGCAGCTCATGGCAAAAATTTAAGTTTCTCAAATGCAAGTCAAACTCCAAGGTCAAGAGATCAAAACTGTTAATACCCAAAAAAATGTCACCTATGAAATATGAAAGCCCTTGCAGCAATCATTCAGAAATTATGGCCAAGGTAAAAGTTTTTCAAGAGTCGGTCAAACTCCAAGGTTACCGATATGAAGTAAAAAAAAAAATTAATACGTAAAGGGTTTTTATCACGGATAATTTCTTAAAATTGAAACACTATTATATTCTTGAAACATATAATTAGCGTTTAAATATGAAATAACTTTGAAAACAGTCATAATTAGGTGATAAAACACCCGTAATATTGAGTTCTCGAAGTAAAAATCTCTACCAATTAGATAGGGGTCACGTGGTACTGAAACGTCATAGGTGTCAATAGTCAATTAGAACTTGCAAAGCTCATATCAAATAGATTTTGACATTACATAAATAGACAACACAATAAGGTCAGTGAAAATTTTGATATTGACAATATTTTTTTTGTTATGGATGGTCAATCTTTTATGTATGAACTTCTAAAGAAAGAAATAACCAAGAAAATATGCCGACAATAGGAGAGGACACCGAAAACGAAGCCGTTGATAATTCGGGACTTCGACTAAATAGAGTTTGACCTCATAAATATTTATAAATATGAGAATTTTAAATTCAACTTCTTTATTATATCAATTATTTATATATAAATGAATCCTGTATATCTTCTATCTGTTCCAGTGAATACCATGTACTAGAAATGACACTTTTCAACAGAGTTCAATGGCACCGTACACCATTACGAAGTTCACAACATTCCTACTAGATTCTGTGCCACTTTAAAAACGCGTGTTGGGTAATTTTTTCCTTTAAATTTTAAAAAGGTACCATGTCCTTAAAATATTTTATAGTACAGAAAAAAATAGAGATTGGGCATAAACGATTGTTCCGAATGGAGACAAAGCCCATGCATTAGCAGAAAAAAATGCCTCCTTCCCCTCTAGACTAAGTCCAGGAAATGTGAAAAAAGTGTTCCTAAAACCTTTCTTGTGCAGATTTGTGCATCCTAAAGCCAGAAATTATACCTTACTATCTGTCAATTATCTAATTATCACTTATTTATTTAATAACAGGTTTAATAGACACAACAAATGAGCAGTTTTGTATAGACAATAAGTACTTTGCTTGACCACGATTGACACCTATGACGTCAGAGCAATGGTGTGTAGCATCGGCGATCAAAATATGCATATTGAGAAATTCAAACTTTGAATCACTGAAACATCAACAATATTAATTTTCTAGCAAAGATTTTTAAATATATGACTTTAATAGCATGTAAACTAAGTTATATCAAAAAATTTTGAGACGTGAAAAAAAACCCTTTAAGAAAAGGGCTTGTCACAAGGAATATATCTGTGAAATATTGACAGCCATAGCACCAACCATTCAAAAGTTATGGCCAAGGTAAATTTTTTCAAAAGTAGGTCAAACCTCAAGGTCAACATGTCAAAATGTTGGTCTTGTTACAAGGAATACATATGTGAAATATGAAAGCCCTAGCTCCAACCATTCAAAACTTATGCTCAAGGTTAATGTTCTTCAAAGTTAGGTCAAACTCTAAGGTCAAGGCTAAAAAGATTCATATCCAAGGGAAGGTCTTGTCACAAGGAATACACGTGAAGTAAGAAAGCCCTAGTGCCAAGCATTCAAAATTATGGTCAAGATTAAAGTTTGGTTAAATTTGGAAAAGTGGGTCAAACTCCAAGGTCAAGATCAAGAGGTCAAATATGTTGGTACCCAAAGATAGGTCTTGTCACAAGGAATAAGTGAAATATGAAAGCCTTATCTCTAACCAATCAAAAGTTATGGGCAAGGTTATAGTTTTTGTGGACAAACAGAAAGACAGAGCAAAAATTATATGCCCCCAAATCTTCAATTATGGAGGCATTAAAATATTAAATGATTTCCTAACTTATCATTTTGTGCTATACCCACCAGCAAAGAAGTGTGCTTGTGGATTAAAAGGATGCTCCACTTTCCGCTTTACTTTATTGTGCTGGTTAGCGTGCTGCTTAGGAAACAGATGTGCTGCTAAGTGTTTGTGCGTCTCACTGGATGTGTGGCTTTTAGGAATAGGGTGCTTTTTGGTCTCCATCTGATTGGATATAAATTTATCTGTGGTCGACCAATGAAGGACTGTGTTTGTTTTGTTCTTACCTATATGATTGTACACATTTTTGTCAGTGAAATGACTTAACACTTTGTCCATGGTCATCATGGCTGATATGTCACTCTGAAGTTTGTTTTCATGCGAGTTTGACATAGCATATCCCACAGTAAGGTCCATGTTTACATTCTTATGCAAAGTGCTCTGCACTTTTAAGCTTTCACTTGAATTCACTATTTTGTTGGTCTTTTCCAATCCTTGTGAGGAATTTTCTGTCACAAGTTTTGATTGTGTCACAATTTTGGATGCAGATACTTTAAGCAATGCATCAGAAACTTTAATGTTTTCCTCAACTACTGAATGTACAAGTTTGAGGTCATCCCCTGGTTCTGATGGAGTGTCATCTGACCTTTCAGAGGAACTTCCTACCCCTGAATCATGATTGTATGCTTTCCCTTCCAGATGGCAAACTGTGTTAGCAGCACCCAACTCATTTTGCATATTAGAGTCATGTAACATACCACCGTTATTGGAATTTTCTGAGTCTGCCCCTGGACTGTCCAGCTGGCTGCCTAGGTGAGGATTTTTGGCTGGATTTGAATGAGAAATATTGAGCAATGGGTCAGTATTTGCACTAGCAACAGAAGTCAAAATAGATGTTTCTTTAACTTCAGGTAAATGTTCATGGATGGATGTCTCTGAAAGTTTAGTTTCATGTAAAGAGTTAACAGACTTTGAATGTTTATTCAAGCCAGATGCTCCATTTTCACTTGACTTTATTGACTGCATCACAACACCTGTCCTACTACTGATCTGAGACTCATTGAGGACAGAGGTGTGAGATGTAGACACATGGAGGGAACTAGCACTGATAGCAGCTGTTGTAGTTATGCCAGGATGAACTAAAGCCGCTGGATTTGCTGATGTTAAGAAAGGATACCCAGCACTGTCACTTTGAATATGGAGACTAGATGAAAATCCTGCGCTATTCAGTCCTGACCCGTGAACAATTCTAACTCTGTCTGTAGAGGGAACAGCACTTGGCACACAGTTAACAATGGAAGAAGTACACATTGCAAGGCCAACTGTCTTTTTGTCCTTTGGAGAAACTTTTTTCATGGGAGAAAAGCTATCCATAGAATTATCACTTTTACAAGGACTGGAGTCTGAACTCTCGACAGGTTCTAGAATTCCAGTGTAGGGGTTAATGATCTTCCCTGATGAATTGTCAGGATGAGTCTGTTTGTTATGCATCCTTTTAGCAAGCATGAATTCTTTCATCTGAGGATTTACACCAGCTCTCATGTTTGGATGAAAGTCTGATTTTGCTGGAACAGAGGGCATGGCCCGCTCTGGTAATGCACTGCATGTCACTACTGGCATAGAACTAGGAGGGAGCGCTTGAGTAATCAACATGGAAGGCATATTGGAACTGTTTCCTGATGTTGGTAAACCACAATGTCCCAAAGCTGGGTTCGGAATACTCTGGTTAGCTAGATCCATTTCAGATTGAGTGACTGTTGCAGTCTTATTTTTATCTTTTGGTTTCCTGGGTTTGCGTTTCTTTTTAGGAGGTGGGCTAGTGTCTGAAGGAGGCAACATTTTACTATTCATAAAGTTTGCCATTGCATCAGTTTGTAATAAATTCACAAGCAATGGGCTAGTAGCTGGTATCCCAGGGTAAGGTGGAGGTGGAGGTAAGTTCATGTGATTGTCCAAGAACATTGGAAACTCTGGATGATCCATATTTGTTGGCAAATGTCTTTTTTGTTCCAGGACACTTTGAGGACCATTTTTAGGTGATGGATTTGGACCAATAGGTATGGTTGTCTTACTGGTGGGATTTTCTACACCAAATATGTCCTGACTAGCATTCCTCTTATTGTCAAGCTGTGGTGGTATTAATCCTAGTAACTGGGACCCCTGTTTGAGATAGTCGGCAATATTTTTTCTGGTAGCTTCACTAGTACCAGGTCCATTGAAATCTCCTGCTTGACCTGAGGATGGTCCCTTGTTAATCACAGCAGATGCTCCACTGACAGAATCACTAGTAGTTTTAAATATTAACTTGGTTCGTTCATTATTTCTACCAGCTATAGTAAGGGATATGAGCTGATCCCCCTCAAGCTGAACAGCTAAAACACCAAGTTGTTTGAGGGTAGCATCTCCTTGCTGTGCCAAGTGCTTTAACCTCCTAGCTGCTTCCAAAGGGATGTTAAAGGTGACCCTCACACTATTCCAGGGCTCCACTTTCTTTAGAATTAATTTCCTTTTATCTAAAAAAAAAAAAAAAAAATATCCATGAAAGAAATATCAGATCATGATAATACTGTAAAGAGTTTCTCTTCAATATGTTTCTTAAAGGTATTTAAATACAACTGTTACAATATATGTTGCAACATACATGCATTCAGATTATATAAGCATTATCAATCAAGCTAAAGGGATTCTATTTTTGACAAACAAATATCATTAGGCCAAAGTTTTTTTTTCACTTGGTTTACGATTCCGCCGACCCTAATTTTCACCAATCATGAAAATAAAAATAATGTCTTTTTCCGACATATTTTTCCGGATTTTTCTCAGCTGAGCTGGTGGGTTTTAAATTTTAGAATGCATCTTAGTCAAATAAGCGTTTATAAATTATATAGAACTTTACAAACATTTAGGTGACCGTAAATAAACACATGTGCAAACCAAAAATGGCGGTTCTGTCATGTAACAAGGTAATTCCTCACTGAAAGCAATGACACACACTTAAAGAACTTTTTCTGCATGGAAAAGTGAATAAAATCTTGGATGCATGATCCCTTTCTCCAATTGCAATGTCTCAATTGGCTAAATTCATACAGTATTGAGTAATATTGAGAAGTGTATGCCCAACCCTGATCGACCTAACAGACATACACCTATAGATAACAGGGATTTATCAGTGCCTTCTCAGGGGCCGAAATTCGGCCCCATTCCCAATTGAAAATGAGTTCAGTTTTTCCCAATTTGGCAGTATTTTTCCCAGTTGGTGAACACCGAACAATGCTTTTATTTTTAATTATCTTGGAAAAAAAACAAAGTAAAATTGTCAGATTGTCTTTAATTTTCATCTATTTAACTCATTTATTAAAGCTACAGTCATAACACATGTTTAAAAACACTGTAAAAACATCGCCAACTTTTAATCCGAATTTCCTCCGTTTTTCTAAAAATGATGATATTGTGTAATTATATAGATTTATTAAGTTATTTCCACCTACTCAATTGATCTGCGAGTGAATGGTTAGGACTTTAGGCATTATTTCAGGTAGAAAAATATATTTTCAATGCATTAATACATATTAAAAGAGGACTTATAGAAAATGTGTACTTAGTATACTTTTTGCAGGAGGTTTATAATCTCCAGAAACAGATTCACTATAATGACCTAAATTGAAATCTCATACACATATGTACATGTACTACCATAAGTTTTATAAATACTTTATACTCATTGAAGTCCATTTTACTTTTATTAGTGTATTATTCATAATTGATCTTGTATGATGAAGATTATTTATTTAATTGTCGTTTGGTTGCCCAAATTAGAGTTCATGCTGAAATGTTAAATGAATTACCCCTGAATACATGATTTAGCAACATTTTAAATTTTTTTTCCAATTTCATCAAATAGACAATAATTTGTTTACCCATTCCCCAAAAATGCATTTCCCAAAATAGGGAGATAAATCCATGCATGATCAAATTATTATAACCTTTATTTCAACGTCAATTACTTATAATATTGTTAAACAATTAAATTGTATTTTTCTTCAATCTAAATTAAACTTAAATTTGGATCCATATTTTTAGTTTGTGGGGGTACTGAGGTTTATAACACATCACATATCACTGAAGAGCATATAAAGAAGTTGAACATCATGAACCAAGTACTGATTGACATACAAAAATCAGAACTAAATGAAAATGACATTCAGTCTAAAGTTAGAAATGAATTAAAATTAAATAAAAAGAGTTATGTGATCTAGACAATAAAACTTAAAAGTACTACGTGTATTGATGTGTATTATTTTTATTAAAATAAAAATTGCTGGTATTTTAAAATGAAATTGTTGAATCCTAAATTATTTTTATTTTTATTTTTCGACCACCCAATGCATTTTTTTGAGACAGAAAATCGTAAACCAAAAAAAATAAAAACTTTGGCCTTACTGCTCATTTAAATGCATTTCTCAAATTAATAGGACTAATACCGCTGCATGAGACCTACACAAAAGGTTTACTTTGAAATAACTTAACTTGAAATAACTCTTAACATCTATTTTTAATTTTTAATTTCATGAATTAAACTTTAAAAAGTATTTATTTGTGACATAAAATTCAGTTTTAAAACAAGTCTTAACCATATTAATGTCTTGATATTGGTGTTTCAGACTACTAAGCCAACTATTGGCAACAACATGACTACTCCTGCTATTTTTGATAATTATCTCATCCTTTCATGATAGGTTTTTTTTGTCACAGATAAGGTAGATTTTAGTTGTGATGTTTATTCATCACTGTTATCGCTGCCCTTCTTTTTGATTTTGACACCATTTTTTGCATTCTATGCGAAAGACATCGGACCGTCGGACCTGACTGATGTGCAGTGCCTCTGGTCCGATGCGTCATTTTTTTTTTACACCGGACTGGAATGTCCGATGTCTCAGTGTCCCGTTTTGAGCTTTACCATTTTGACGCAGAGCCATTTAAATGATTACTGTAAGTAAAACTAGAAATATGTCCATAGGACATGAATGCCCCGCCGAGGGTATATTAGTGATGCAACATTTTAACACAAATTGAGAAAAGTGAGGTCAAGGTCAAAGGAAAGGTCTAGGTGAAAAAATATTGATGCAGTTGAATAGCTTACATCAGTATGTATCAGCATATGAAGTTTGACACTAATTTAAGAAAAGTGAGGTCAAGGTCAAAGGAAAGGTCAAGGTCAAAAAATGTTGATGCAGTTGAAAAGGTTACATCAGTATGTATCAGCATATGAAGTTTGACACTGATTTAAGAAAAGTGAGGTCAAGGTCAAAGGAAAGGTCAAGGTCAAAAAATGTTGATGCAGTTGAATAGCTCTCATCAGTATGTATCAGCATATGAAGTTTGATAACACTATCTTGAATGGTATCTTTAAAACTGAGCTAAAACTTATTTCAGAAAAGTGAGGTCAAGGTCAAAGGAAAGGTCAAGGTAAAAAATATTGATGCAGTTGAATAGCTCTCATCATTATGTATCAGCATATGAAGTTTGTTAAAAATATCTTGAATGCTTTCATTAAAACTGAGCTAAACACTAATTTAAGAAAAGTGAGGTCAAGGTCAAAAGAAAGGTCAAGGTCAAAAAACGTTGATGCAGTTGAATAGCTTACATCAGTATGTATCAAAAAATGAAGTTTGATTACATTATCTTGAATGGTATCTTTAAAACTGAGCTAAACACTAATTTAAGAAAAGTGAGGTCAAGGTCAAAAGAAAGGTCAAGGTCAAAAAATGTTGATGCAGTTGAATAGCTTACATCAGTATGCATCAACATATGAAGTTTGATTACACTACCTTGAATGGTATCTTTAAAACTGAGCTAAACACTAATTTAAGAAAAGTGAGGTCAAGGTCAAAGGAAAGGTCAAGGTCAAAAAATGTTGATGCAGTTGCATAGCTCTCATCAATATCTATCAGCATATGAAGTTTGATAAAAATATCTTGAATGGAATCTTTGAATCTGAGCTTTGAACAGAGCTAAACGCAAAGTGTGACGGAAGGACAGACGGAAGGACAGAAGGACGGAAGGACGGAAGACGGACATGACAAACACTATATGCCCCGGCCATATTCATGGCGGGGCATAAAAATATCGCACAAATCCAAATACGTAAATGAATGTGATTAAAACCACATGGACCGTCTACAGTATTGTGCGGGAGCGATCCCTGGCAAAAAAAAGCTGTTAGTACTTAGTATTACTAGTACAATAAATAAGATTTCCTTGGTTCTGCATTTTCCCGTTTCACTTCTTTACATCAGGTTTTTCAGTCTGACAAAATTTGGTTTGGTCCTGTGTGTTCATTGATTACACAGAACCGAATGTCATGTGTGGACCAAAAAACTTTCGCATAGACTGTTTTTGTATTAAACAGATTTTAATATGCAAAGAACCGAACCATAATATGAAACAAGAGGCCCATGGGCCTTGAATCGCTCTTCTGATAAACTGTACAACCTATCACTTCTATTTGAAGCCTCGAAGTATCCTGTATATTTACATAAACCCTTGAAATTCCAATTCACACTCTGAGAACCCAAGATGATTCTAAGCCAATTAGTACCTGAGAGTTGGTCATGGTGACCTACTTATCACTTGTCATTCTCTGAGGACCCATCAACTAAGTTTGATGATTCTAAGCCAATTAATACCTAAAATATTTTTTAAAATTATAATCATAAAATTTTATAAGTAGGTTAAAGTGACCTACTTTTCAATTGTTTTACTCCAAGGACCCAAGATGCATCAACTGACAAAGTTTGATGATTCTAAGCCAATTAGTACCTGTAATATTTAATTAAAGCCATAAATTTTCAAAAGTAGGTCAAGTCACCGTGACTTACTTTTCAGTTGCTGTACTCCGAGGACCAAAGATACATCGACTGACAAAGTTTGATGATTCTAGCCATAAGTACCCAAAATATTTAATTATAGCCATAAATTTTCAAAAGTAGGTCACACTGACCTACTTTTCAGTCAACCTACTCCGAGGACCAAAGATGCATCAACTGACAAATTTTGACGATTCTAAGCCAAATAATTCCTGAAAATATTAAATACAGCCATAAAATTTCAAAAGTAGGTCACCGTGACCTACTTTTCAGTTGTTGTACTCCGAGGACCCAAGACGCATCAACTGACAAAGTTTAATGATTCTAAGCCAATCAGTACCCGAAATATTTGATTAAAGCCATAAATTTTCAAAAGTAGGTCACTGTGACCTACTTTTTAGTCGATCTACTCCGAAGACCCAAGATGCATCAACTGACAAAGTTTGATGATTCTAAGCCAATTAGTACCCGAAATATTTAATTAACGCCATAAATTTTCAAAAGTAGGTCACTGTGACCTACTTTTTAGTCGACCTACTCCGAAGACCCAAGATGCATCAACTGACAAAGTTTGATGATTCTAAGCCAATTAGTACCTGAAATATTTAATTATAGTCATATAAATTGAAAAGTAGGTCACGGTGACCTACTTTTCAGTTGACCTTTTTTGAGGACCCAAGATGCATCAACTTACAAAGTTTTATGGTCATAGGACTTAAAATGTCCAAATTATGCCTCTAAAACGCTTTGAAATCGAATGCCTGCAAAGTTCAAAAAGTAGGTCACTGTGACCTACTTTTTAATAAATATGTTTTATGGCCCCAGGATGCATCATCTTACAAGATTTAATGATTCTAAGCCTCCCCGTATTCGAATTAATGACCTTAATTGTTTTAAAAAAGATTAGCCATAAAATTCAAAAAGTAGGTCAAGGTGACCTACTTTTTAGTTGACGTACTTTGAGGACCCAAGATGCATCAACTGACAAAGTTTGATGATCATAGGCCTTAAATTGTTCAAAATATGCCTCTAAATCATTTTGAAAAAGAATGGCCGCAAAATTTAAAAAGTAGGTCACTGTGACCTACTTTTGAGTCAACATGATATGAGGTCCTTAGATGCATCAACTGACAAGATTTGATGATCCTAGTCCTTATAGTAAGCAAAATATCAACATTTTAATAAAATGTAATTTTTGGTCAACTTTGAAGTGACCTTGAGACCACGCCCTTTGCCCCAGGGTAAATCCCCGTGCAAATTTTAATCTACAACATATCCTCATCCTTTTGTGTAAGTTTGGTGATAATCTGCCCAGTGGTTCTTGAGAAGAAGATTTTTTAGCAACCAGTACTTTTGTTTCTATTTTCCTAATTATCTCCCCTTGTTAAAGGGTCACAACCCCAGTTTTAGTATAACAGGGAGCCCTTGGGCCAAGGATACCCTGTGACAAATTTGACAATAATTGGCAAAGGGGTTCTTGAGTTATGGCCCATATTCTAAAAAGTTTACGCACACCGCACAAATGGCCATAGCATTAGCTCTTTGAGCCTTTGGCTCAGAAGAGCTAAAAATGGAACCGAACCAAACACCTTTGACAGCAGTTTTTGGTTTTGGGGAACTGTAACATCCCTAATGGATATGACCTTCATAATTTATTTCATAATAAAATTATGTTACGGACATGAATTTTACACTTCACATCCAGTGACCAAATGACTGGTGCAAGTTGATACACACCCTCAGGACACAAAACAACCTTTGTGCCCACTATAATCTAATGTTATTTTAAGTTATGGCAAATGCAAAATTTTCACATTTCTAAAACCTGTGACCTTGGGCAAAAAAAAAATTAATAACTTGGTTCTCAGGCCAGTTTTCTCAAAAATAAATGTGGGAGGGAGGCTTTTTTTCCCTTTTCATCTCATAAAAAACAGACGCGGGATTTTTCTCTCAAAAATAAATGTGGGAGGGAGGTTTTTTTCCCCCCTCTTTTCATCTCATAAAAAACAGATGCGGGATTTTTGATTTTTTTTCCTAATTTCAAAACTAGCAAATTTTAATGAACAGTGCTTCAACATTGAGTGTAAAAATCAAAATAATATATTTCCTGCTTCTTTCTCTTTTCTCTTGCATCTTCTACATTCCAATGATTCTTGTAATGAAATGACGGCATCCCAAAAACCAGAAATGTGTTAAACTTACAGATCCAAACACTTTAAGTGATGCATCTGGTCAATTGCTTGCGTAACACAACTAATCTAAGAGTGTTTCAGCACTACAAATAGCGCTTATGATTTTATTAAACATGGTCAAATTTATCAGTCTTTGGTTTACCCACACTAAATGAAATCTGCAAATCTTGCTGAGGTCCAAGTTCCGAGGTTGAGGAAGCCATCTTTGATAGCGTTATTGATCAAGTTCTAGCATGGAAAAACCTTCAGATACCCCAACTTTGTACTATGGAAGTATTACAGTCATTCCCTTATGAATTTGCACTGAAATCAATGCCATCATGACTAAACTTAATCTTCACGCCTTATCCTGTTAACTCGGTGGCCATCTGGATCATCTTGATGTTTGTCAAACGTTTTACTGATTTCTAAAATGCAGTCAAAATGCAGTCGGGAATTCCGGATTTTTTTGGCACCGCATGAGAGAAATTTTATTTTATTCATTTGAGGATAAAAATGGGTAATGCGCATTGTTGAATGAGATGCAGGCAAATTTGAGAACCAAGTTAATAATTTTTTTAGGCCTTGTCAAAAATACCCTGGGTTAAGGTCTAGTGCAATATCTTCAAGTTACAAGCTACCTTCATCTAAAGTACAAACTTCTTGGCATACCGTAATTAAACTCCATAACTTTTATGAAAGTCATGGATTTGCTACAATTTTCATGATATTACCTGTAGACAAAAGATCTCTGAGAGTACTTCTAAAATCTTCAAGTCGGTTTTTGAGATCAGGATCATTAATGTCTCCTTCACAGGTGAAGACCGTCTCCACAAAGTCCTCTTGAGGACCCATCGTCACCACGACGGCATATGCTCACCTACAAAAAGTCAAACAGTGCAGAAAGAAATAGATCTACGTCTTCTCTTTCATGGCATAATCTGAAAAGAATATTCATTTTTCAGAGTTTAATTCAATTTAAAGTAAACACTCATCAAAATTCCTTCCTTAGTCTTAAAAAGTCATGTCTGTTTCCTGTAACCAACCAACCCACTTTAATCTTTGTAAATGCAATGTACATGTAGTTTGTATAGGTGCAGTGTCATTTGCAGATATAGTACAATTTGTTCTTAATAGATTATTTGTCAAACAAAAATAATATTATCAATGGTGAGCATAAATAAAACTTCAATAATTCAAACCTCAGGTATAAATAGATATTACCGGT